TACATAGTAGATGGAAAATTAAATACCTTTTCTTCAAAGGACAGATCATATAGACAAAAAAATCAACACAGAAATATCTAAGTTAAACTATACTACAGACAAAATGGACCTGACATACATTTATAGGACATTTAATCCAAAAGCTATGGAGTGCCCATTCTTTTTTAAGTAGAACACGAATGTCTTAACAACAAATTGATGCAAGATATTTTAAAAGGATTGTATAGAGCCTACAAAACCTCTTTAGAGACAGAGTCTTGCTATGTAATTCAAGCTGATCTTGAACTCTCTATGTAGGCCATTCTGGCCACCAACTGAGATCCTCCTGCCTCAGCTTCCTGAAAGTCAAATTTATAGGCATGCACCACCATGTCCAGCAAAAGCCTATATATTCTTTTCACAATAATATGGAACACAAGCACTGACATCAGTTTTCAAATTTTATTACAGAGAAAATTAACAACAGTCCAGGTAAACTATAAGTCAACAATAAAAAAAGGAAAAAAATTCAATGTCTAGAAACCCAAACACATTCCCAAATAACCCAAGGTTTAACCTATGAAATTTGTAGAAGTGAATGACTATCAAGGATATATACATTACCAAGATGTTTGGGAAGGAGCTCACATGATATGTACGGATAACTTTACAGATTGGAAATGGTGTTAAAAGACAAATATTACTGTGTCATGAGACCCAAGCTTGCTCGAATTTGTGCTATTTCTCTAGGCGTCTTACCAAAATGGGTGTGTATATATATTCACACATATCTTGTCTGTGCCAATAGAAGTTTCTGAGGTTTTAGCTATTTATTAAGATTATGTTATAGCTCTGTTATCTTAACACAATGCTGGTCTTAACTTAAAGACTTCTCTACTTTAGCTGTTTTAAACTGTACTAGCATACCAACATCATATAAGTTCTATTTTTTTCTTGACATGAGAGGTCATTTAATATGTTAGTCTCCTTTTTTTTTCTTCTAGGTAATTATTTTCATGATTATAGTTTTCAAAATACACCATTGGAAATTCTGGTTACTCAGGATTCAGGTATTATAGAGTTTCTTTTTGTTATTCTAATTCAAAATTTTTTAAAGTATTGTTCTTTTCCAGGAAACATATACCTGAAGGCCAGAAAAGAGTTTATGCTGAATAGGCATTTCCTTTATTTTATTTTATTTTTTTCTTTTTAAGACAGGGCCTCACTATGTAGTTCAGGTCTCAGCATTCCAAGTGCTGGAATTATGTGCTTGGTCATTCACCTTTATCCAACAAAGTCATCCAAGAGCAAATCTATTGCTTTATCTTTGTAGTATACTTTTAAAAAATGTACAAAGTCACACAAGTCTTCAGATCTAAAAAGTTTTCTCATGGACCTAAGCAATGAAGACTCAATATAAAAACAATCATTTTAAGTGGTTACACATAAAGTTTGTTATATGTGTAATACGCATCTCTTCAGACATGATATAATCTTCTAGCTGTAAATAATATGACTTTCGATTAGGCATACAGCATAAAAATATAAAAATTCAATTACTGGTTGAGTTCCCTACTCTGCATTTTTCATGAGTCCTCAGTGGCATATAAAGTGTCTGTATAAAAAAGTCAGGTATTAAAGTAACTTCTAAGAGGCTGAGGATTTAGCTCAGCAGCATAAGCACCTGCCTGGGAAGCATGACGTTGTGAGTTTGATCCCCGGTACCAAAAAATTAAAATAAAATAAAATAACTTCTAAGGATCCAGACTTTACGTGTCTTTTGAATTTGTTTAAACCATATCAACAACATAATTTACATAATCTTTGTCACTCCTGTTTTCCTTTTGCTGGCGATTACTTTCAGGTAAGTTCTTTTGACTTTCCTTAGATGAGAAAGGACTTCAAGTGTTCACACCAAATGCTGATTCATCCTCAGTGTATCCACTTTATTCTCAACTAAGTTTCCTGATGCATTTCCTCTCTATATAATTTCACATTTCATTTGATTCAAGGCTTTCTTGAGCTCTTATTTTCACTTTAGTTTTTTAAAGAGGATACATTTTCCTCAAACCCCAAACTATAATTTCTACAATTAGTTAATTTATTAGGGTTACAGAAGTTTCAGTCCACAGTTGACTGGTGGTAGGGCCCACACAGGAGGAGCACAGCACAGTGGCACCAGGAAGGAGAGGCAGGATGCATATTCTTCTCAACCATCCATGACTCTCCAGGATAGATTCTTTTTTTCTGTTTTTTTGAGACAGAGTCTCACTATGGAGTTCAGGCCAGCCCTAAGATCACTTTGTAGCCCAGGCTGGTCTCTAACTTGTAATGATCTTCTTGCCTCAGCCTCCTGGGTGCTGGGATTACAGGTATGTACCACCACGCCCGGTTTCAGGATAGATTTAATAAAACAGCACCAATTGCATGGCTTCACTGATTTTAAGGCCAGGCATCAGCTGTGGGAGGCAGGTAGGGCTTTATTTGGAGAAAGCACTTCAATGTATAGCGCTCAGATGGAGCACCTTTTCTGTGGTAGCATGTGCTGTTTGAACTGGGTACATGTCATCTGCCCACCTATCAATTCCAACTATTGCTCCATCAGTGCCAGTGACAGAGATTACCTTTACTGATGACAAAGTCTCCCTGAGTTCTGACCAGCATTTCCAATGAAGCCTTCCCATCTGACCCTTTATCTTGTTAATTTTAGTGATATCTTCTATGTCTTTGTCTAGAGCAACAATTCTTAGGAGGGATTAAATTCAGACTGTCAGAAATGGCTGCTCCCAAGAGGGCAGATTCCAAGATGGCTTATAATGGGCCATTGTGAAATAGAGCTTTGCTCCTGTCTAGTATTTCAATATGTAAACTTGCAAAAGCAAGAAGTTGATGATCACTGTCCTGTTTAGCCTGAGACCTTGCCCAAAGACCTTGCTACTGGAAACTGTTACTTTCAAGGTGACTACTAAGCCAGGAGATAACAAATGGGATTAGGATAAACTAAAAATGCCATGGAGATTCTTCTTAGTGGATAGTCTCCATGAACTATGGCCTTTGGTTAGTTTCTGGTTCAGTTTTCCCATTGCTTTCATGGAAGGGCAAATTTTCAGATGTCTTTTGCCATTTCCTACCCCTAAATATTTCCTTGGCTTGAAAAGAACCTTTGTATGGCAGTGCTTCCTGGAACACAGTGACGACAGCATGTTCTTTCCACTGACTCATGAAGAATGACTGACCAAAGAGAAATAGGGAAGTGATGCAGAGTTTTTTCCAGCCGTGGTTCAACTTATTCTTATGGCTATTCACCAATCTGTAATAGCAAATGCTTGTTTTAGTTTTCTTGTTAGTATAGTTGGCAGTATGCATTTCTATTTTTTTCTCCTCTTCTTCCTCTCCGTTTCTCTGTGCTGGAGATTGAAGCTAGAGTCTCCTTATAATAAAAGTTCTGTCACTATGGAAGGTACTAGGATGCAGTCCATTAAATTTTTAACTTTTAAAAGAGATGGAAACCCTATCTAAAAAGATGCAACCTAGTTATCAGAATGTTCACAATTCCAGATAATTAAAAACATTAATGAAATATTTTTAATATCAGCTTGGTTCTCATAGAACATTAAGAGAAGCTGATAATTAAAGTTTAACTGGCTCATCCACACATACATCAGAAAATACAGAAAGAAATGTGGTTGCTCTTTCTGAAAACTGGGTAGGCTAGCGGTTCTCAGCTATGCCCTCACTGCTCACTGGTTTGCACAATCAGTTGTTGGAAGCAACATCAAAGTATCAACCCCCTGTCAAATGTCTTTACAAAAATTTTTTTTTGGTATTTTAAAAAATTAGGGAGTTACATATACAGCAGTCACCATAGACCCTGCAAGCCTGTCTCGCAGGAAAGTTATTTCTCTTCAGAACTTTTGCACTAGGCCTGTCCAGTAACCGCCAAGAGCAATCATTCTGCTTGCTGTTCAGTCAAGAGAGTCAACAGGATTAGAGGTCTGTGGTGCATAAGAAACTTTCAGGCCAGCGGAAGAAACCATGTATTTAACATTTGATTTGTTAGCTTCAGTTTACTATATTATTGCCTTCAAGTGTTAAGGTATGGCCTTACAAACACTATCTAGAAAGATGCAATCTAGTTATCAGAATGGTCACAATTCTGATAACTGAGAAGTTATGCCTACATCTCATAAATGTATCATTTTATTTGATGAACTGGAAACATGTCTGAAGTTATACTGTGACATTTTCAAAATTAACAAAAGGTTTATTTTCAAAATTTTTATACGGTGTGATCAGAATCCTTAAAGTCAATACGCTATTTTACATACATGTCTTTATTTCGTTATCAAATTATATGTTTAAAATAAGTATCAGGTGTTATAAACCATACAGTGTCTCAAATTGTGTTGGCTCCCGTTGCAATCAATTTGAACTGAATCATCTTATTTGCTGCTTTATTTTTCCAACTAGCAAATATTTCTTGTTTGCTCACATACTTAATTTATACAGGTCACTGGAAAAATATTCTATCTTTATTTCCCAGCAGACTATTTAGGAAGGTCTCAACAGTACACTATAAAAGATGCTCATCTTCTGCTATGCTTTGCTTTACCTACTTTTGTTCTGGATGTGAAATGAAAAACAACACAGTGATTACTAAATGAATAAACAGATACGGACACCGGGCATTCCTCCACGCACAACAGATTGTCAATATTCTGGCTTAGTAAATTTCTTCCTTCTGCTTACCTAAATCTATAGGCATTTTGAAATGATATAAACCAACTAAGAAATTTACACTTAGAAGAAATAGTTTTAAAAAATGTATTTGCCAATACTAGTGGAGGTGTTTTACTCTGTGGTAAAACAGCTGATTACCAAAGACCAGGGCCTGAGGAAAAGCAAAAGCCTATGCACTAAACCTCCTGGTGTACTGTAAGCATGATGGGATGGGATTATCATGGAAGAATCATCAGAGGAGTCACTGTATTTTCCAATGCTGCATAATAAATCACAACAACTTTAGTTGCTTCATGTAAGACATTTATTATCTCACAGTTCAGTATGGCACAGGTCGTGGCATAGCTCAAACAGGTCTCATCCTGAGCATCTTGTACAAAGGCAATGCAGTTGTCGGTCCTGTGGTGTTATCAGAAAGTTGCAATATTCTTCTCAGTGATTTCAGCCTCGGTCCTTGGGGCGAACACCTGAGGCCACACTTGTTTCCTGCTGACTGCCAGCTGCAGGGTGGCTCTCATCTGCTCTAGGATTTTGTAGGTTTTGGCTGTTGTGGTCCTCTCGTAACAGGGCATTCACTTCTTCAAGGCCACAGGAAACTCTGACTTTCTGTCAGGTTAGCCCTGCTCCTCCCAGGCCCATTCCACACACTGCCTTTTGATACTCAAACTTAGCTGGTGAGGGCCATTACCTGCATCTGCAAAATTCCTCTAACTTTGCTATGTCATACAAAACAATGGCCACATCACACTGGCATTTCATCAGGGGATGTATGGTTTATAGTGAATGTTGAAAATAGTGTCAACATGATTTTGTAACTGTGTCTATAAACTTTTAAATGTTGCATCACTTTAATAATTACAAAATGTTTGCATATTTTGCATCTTTATTTTCATGAATGTTGAGAAATACAGTGGATATTAATCCAATGTTATAGATGAAAAAAGCAAGGTTCAAGAAATTAAAAGAGTTTGCCCAAAGTTTTCAGCAGTAGTGGCATTAGCTGGCCTTCAGACCAGGGCCTTTCAACCCACAGCACACTGCTCTTCCAGCTAATATTCAAGTTTTCTAATTGTACTTGTTGATGTTTGAAGAAATGTCTTAGGATTAATGTGAATCCCAGGTTGACACTAAGAAAAACCTAAATGTTGATAGGATGACTCCATTTAATTTGCTGGAGATGCAATATATGCTTTAATAACCATTGCATTGTCCCATGCTGCCTTGTTAAAGATAAAGAATACTTTGAAAAAAAGTATTTTTAAAAATGGTATTGACAGTTGAATATAAAAAATTATGAGCTGGGGATTTAGCTCAGTGGCATAAGTGCCTGCCTGGCAAACATGAGGTTGTGAGCTCAGTCCCCCATACCAAAAAAAAAAAAAAACCAAAAAATGAGTCTATTCTGATGAACTTGTTATCTCTTGCAGCTGCTGTTGAACCTTTTAAAAAGCAAGAAGAAACAAAACAATCATATTATACTGCTGTTCTGAAATGTACGTGTAGGAGAAAAAGGATAAACCCCATCCCCTTCATTTTTAAAATGAATATAAAACTTGATACCTTCTTAATGTCTGGTCTCTTATTTTTCTTTTCATGCAGACACTGACTAGCAACAAAGTACATAGTTTCAACTGAAGTGGAATCAGCATCTTTCATCTTTACATCCACATAATCTTCAATTGTCTTTTCTTCATCTTCAATTTCTTCTTTAATATCCAGCTTTAAATTGAATGTTAAAATTTTGTTAAAAGTTTCAAATAAAAGTAAAATGGACTGTAACTTTATTTAAATTTGTCTATTTTTTTTAGCAACATGTATTTTCATTTCACTATCTTCTTTTATCATCTTATTAGGACTTGAAGACATATTGGACAGATCTTAAACAAACAAATAAATAGACTGATTTTTGCTTCTAAATATGTTCACCCTTTGCCATCTAAATTTTGTATTTATGTTATCAATTCATTGCTTATGTGTTCACATCAGTAGCACAAGGTGACCTAATTCTTGACAAGCTTTTGGACTTGGAATCCCCTATGTGTCCCCCAAAAAGTCAAAAGAAAAAGGAGGCAAGGCCGTAATAATAATACTAAAAAATAATGATTGTGAGAGAGATATATAGTATTACCAGGATGAGATGAATTTCTGGAACCTGTGAACATAATCTTATCAGGAAAAACAGGGTTTTGTAGATGAAGTTAAGCATCTTACAAGAAGATCACCCTGGAGATGGTCACTAAGTCCAATGACAAGCATCGGGATATGAGACAGAGGAAGAAAGTCATAGAGAAGACTAAGTGGCCACAAAGCAGAGATGAGGGATGGGGTTGGAAGTCAAGTAACACTGCTGGAAGCTGGAAGAAGCAAGGAGGGATTATCTCCTATACCCCAAGTGGGGCCTGGTTTGCTGACACCTTGATTTCAGACTTCTGGCTTCCTGAATTCTGAGATAAGAAATGTCTGTTACTTTACATCATCCAGTTTGTGCTTTTGTTGTTGTTGTTTTTTGATACTGAGAATCAAACTTATGACCTTGTGCTTGCCAGGCAGATGCCTGTGCTGCTGAGCTAAATCCCCAGACCTGTACTTTTTTTTAAAATGATAGCTCGTGACAACTAATAAAGCTTGGATTTGAGAAAGAGATTATTTGAGAGGTACAAATAAACATTCCAAAAACCCTTCCAAAAAATAATCTTTGAAAGTGTTTGAGCAATGCCAAAATGCAATGATATAAAGGCTCATTAAGGGACCCTTCTCAGCAATATTTGCATCAAAATCTTACTTTGTAGTCAAACCATGTTCAAATTTTAAGAATGGGGAAAGAGTATAATCCTCCCCGAAGCTTCATGATTCTTCACCACTAAAAGAAGAACTTGTCACTGTGAGAGATTCTATATTTTTCACTACTCACTCAGGTCAAAGTTTTGAGGGGTTTTTTTGTCCACGCAGGCCTGGCCTAAGAATCAAACTGTAAGACAGTGAAATACGAGGTGCCACCTTTAGCCTTCCCTGCCTCTTTTTCCCCCGTCTTCTCTGTAGCTTCATTTTATTTTATTTTATTTTAGACAGGGGCTTGCTTTGTAGTATAGTCTGGCCTTGAACTCACAGTGATCGTCCTGCCTCAGCCTCCTGAGTGCTGAGATTTTAGGCATGTGCCATCATGCCTGGCATTGTTTTACATTTTTCATATATATACTTTCTCAATATTATACAATATATACCATGCTCTGCCTAAGTCTGTATATGAATGGTTGAAAAATGGTACCTCTTGCAGGGTAATTCTAGTAGACTCTGGAAGGCTGAGTAGAAAGACTGTAAGGTTGAATTCTACCTGAGCAAATCAGTGAAAGCTTTCAATTTAACCCTCAGTGCCATACACATATGCATGTGTGCACATGCACACACACACACACACACACACACACACACACAGAGCGCATTTCAAGCCTAGGCTTCTCTTCTGACCTCCAGTAACCAACAGGACAAAGAATTTTATTTCTCTAACACGAAATTTTACTTTTTATTGTGTCACGTAAAAATTTAACTTTTTATAATACTAACTTCTATACATATTCTCTAATGTGAAGCATATTTTATGTAATATAGCACTACTAAATTTGCAGTATAGCATAGAAAGCTTTATAATATATCAATTTATAATGAACATGAAAATTATTACATATAGATATTGCATTTACGGTTTCCTCAGAAGAATATGGCACCAGAGCAAATTACACCTTTCTAATCGTAATTCCAAGGACATAATCTAATATATATATATTAGATGTTGATGGAATATATATATATGTATATATATTCCTCACCCACCCAGATTTGTGATTTGTGGCATTGGTTCTTTTCTCATCAGGTCACAAAAATTATAAAGTCAGTGTAGGTGTTTAGCTAATTTTAAGAAAAATTTATGCATGACAGTAGACAGTTCCATAAATCTTTAATTTTATAAAAATCTCAAAGTTTTCAAAATTTACTACATAGGAAAAAAAGGACATGGCATAAGTTTCCTATTATTTTATTATTCAGTTATCTTGCTTATACGTTATCAATGAAATGTCTACTATAAAAAAAAATCAGGCAATGTATTCTATGATAATTCCACAAAGTATTGCAAAGTAGAATGGGGAACTTTTTTTTGGTACCGGGAATGGAACTCATGACCTTGTGCTTGCCAGGCTGGTGCTGTGGTGCTAAGCTATCTCCCTGGCCCTGCAATACAGACCTTTTACTAGCAATACTATTGTGACAGAAATTTGAAAGGCAGTCATGATTTTTTGTTAGTATGTTTCTGAGATGAAAATGCTGTTGGTAACCACCCTAAAAGTAACAAAAAAATAGGGCCAGGAATATAGCTCAGCAGCATAGCACTTGCTTGGCAAGCATAAGGTCCTGAGTTTGATTCCTGGTACCAAAAAAAAGTAACAAAAACAAACTGAGTGGACCTCAAAAATCCTTTAGTTCTAGTTTCATTTTACTTGAAGAAACGAGAACAAAGAATATACATAATACATATACATACATACATATGCCTTTTCTAGGGTTCACAAGTACTTCATGGTTGAGCTGAGGTCAGAAATATTTAATGCTCTTTCCATATTTCCATAATATGCATTCTATATTGTCAGTGGAAAACACTGCAGATGGAAAATACCATCTCCAGATGTCAAATTTATCTGTCTAATATGACAACTATAAATGCAAAAGAGAAGCGTTAGAAAAACATGAATCTCGCACTTACTAATAACTGAGGTTCACGTTTTTCATCCACAGCTGGAAGTCCAGTTATTATTTCCAATAAAACCTACAAAGAAAAAGGAATTCATGGATGCCACACTTAAGACAACATATAGAAACCAAAATATGGGATTTTTAAAGAAGTTACAGCCTTAGCCCAGGAAGCTGCATCTTGATTATGAACTCTCAGTGTAGTTTCTGCAACAGCACACGTGGTGGCTTCCAGGCATTAACACGGAAGAACATGGGCTGTGGGCTTCCCTCCCTGCCTTTCCTTCACACACACCTTGCAGCTGTCATGTCCACAAAGTTTTCTTTTCTGTTTACAATGTGCTAAAAAACCAGTTCCATTCAGCATGTATGTTGGAAACTCTCAATCCTTTTCCTTTCTTTTTTTTTTTTTACCAGGAATCAAACTCGGGATCTTGCACTTGCCAGGAAGGCGCTTATGCCACTGAGCTATATCCTGGCCCTCCTGTAGGGGACTTTTCAGAAGAATAACTTCCTCTGTCTTCTGGGAGAACATTCTTTTTTAAACATTAGGTATATTCTGTAACATTGTGCTTTTACTTGACAGTGCAATAAAGTCAAATTTCCATGCATGGAACAGATACAAAACAATAAGATGAATTTAAAAATTCCCAATTTTTTCCAAGCACCCACACCTATCCTTTTGTCTTAAAAATGCTCTGGAATAGACTGCTTGATCAGAAAATGTTAAAAAATCAGATTAAAGTATGTATTTTATGACATCACTTTATGCTTTGATCTAAGCTTTATCCTATTTCTTGATGTTAGGTGACAAGTAATTTCTGTAATAATTACAAAGGTTAGCTAAAATTTTTTATACAGTGGAGCTCTTACAAACTCTCTGCTATAACTTGAGGTTCAAGTGAAAAAAATATATACATATATGAGAGCTAAGCAAGAAAAGTGTAGTGAAATATTCCACTTGAATTTCACAACTGCAGAACAGTAGCTACTACAGGTTACTCACCACACCAAAGCTGTAGATGTCAGACTTGGGTGTTATTTCTCCTCGCAGAGCTTCCGGTGCCATGTAAGCTGTCGTGCCTACAATCCTGCTAGTCATGACTGTCTGGGTAAGCTTCTCAGAAGCCCGTGCAAGCCCAAAGTCAGATATTTTGGCAGTGAAGTCTTTATCTAATAAGATATTTGCACTGAAAAAATGTAAATTTTGGAGAAATGTTTCACATTTTATATATATTTATATTGTATATTTTATAGTAACTATTATAAAAGCCAACAATTTGTATAAATAAATCTAGAGTTCAAACTAGTGCTAAAGAGAAATGATTGTTTTCCTTTTTGTTTCTTGAAGAACATTTATAAGAGTAAAAATGAAAAAAAAAAAGTAAAAAAATGAAATAAAGCTTTCTAAACAAGAGAAATACTTCCATTACTCTACAAATAACTTATTGGGCAACTTCCTACAGTCTTCCAAAGTATCATTTTTCTTTTTGTCTTTCTTCTTTCCTTGTACTTTCCCTTCTTTTCCTTTCTTCCTTCTTTCTTTTTAGTGGGATTTGAATTCAAGACCTTCTGCACATTATGTAAGTGCTTTACCACTGAGCTACAGCCCTGGCCCAAACATACCATTCTTTTTCTTTTTAAATTTTACTATTTATTTTTATTAAGACATAATATATATACATTATAGATTACATTATGGTAATTCAATATATGTATACAATGTATGTATACAATGAATCAGGGCAAAAACAAGTTCTATCTTTCTAAACATTAATAATTTTTTTTTTTTTTTTTGTCTTTTTCCTTTTTATCGGTACTGGGGATCGAACTCACGACTGCCTGCTTGCAAGGCAGGCACTTATGCTGCTGAGCTAAACCTCTAGCCCCAACATTAATAATTTTTATGGGCTAAGATTTTTAGCCTCTTCTCATCATTTTCAAGTATGTCATTAAGTTATTTTAACTTATTCATCTTACTGTCTGAAAAAGACACAGAGGTGTTCTCTGCTCTCCAACTGTGTTTTGGTGACCTCTATGAACTTATTGCTATTTCTCCACCTTTACTCTTCCCAGCATTCTATACTTCCTATACTATTCTCTCTTTCTGCTCTGTTGTAGTCTATTCATCCATAAGATTGAGAACATATGGTACTTTTTTTTTTAAATGTTTGGCTTTTAAAATAGGCCAAAAGTACCATATTAAAGTAACTCAATTATTCATTTCCTTGAACTATTTTTTTCTCTGTGCCATCTGGGATCTTATGAAAAGGGAAGATTATGGCTAAAAGATCTTAATTTTTTCATTATACACAATCATTTATACATTCAATAAAACCTTATTGAGCTCCAGATGTATTGTAGTATTTAAGCTTAGAGCTAAATAGAGAGGAAAGCTTAGAATGCTGTGTGTGAGAAATGCATTATGAATAATTTTCAAAAATTATTAAATACTACATGATGTTAATATTAGAGACAAAATGCTGAAAAAAAAAAAAAAAAAACCCATGTGCCTGGAAGAACTATGGAAAACTGAAGGAATGGTGAGAAGCAGGTTTGGTCTTGAGGACTGTTAGAAGTTGATAGGTAGATGAGAGAAAAAGGTCTATCAGGCAAATGGATCACAGTGATGAAATAACACAAAAGCATACGGTATATATGAACAATGTCAAGAAACAAGAACCTAGAGAGAATCTGAACTCTCTGAGCAACAGGAAACTATCTGCAGTTTTCATGGAAGGTAACTGATGTGACTAACTTGACTTCTAGGACCACAGCCTGGCAGTGTTCTAAAGAATAGACAGGAAGGGGTACAGATTAGTTTTAGGTTGACTAGGTTTATAATGAAGCCAGCAAAAGATACTGAAGGTGTAACTCTTAAATACACACAGAACCTTACAAGGGAAATAGAGAATAAGAAAGTCTTAGGTATGGGTGATAGAGTAAACAGTGACTTTTTTTTTATTTGAAAGAAAATACAGGAAAAAACATTTTGAGATGAAGAGATGATGGATTTGATTTCTGAGGTACTAGCTTGAAGGTCATCATGGGACATCCAGGTGAGGAGATTTGGTATAGGATTCTGAAAATACAAGACTGGGGGTAATGATACAGATTGAAGAGTCACCCACATACTGGTAGCAGTTCATGTTGACTCAGTAAGAACATGTAGAAGGACAGAAGACATTAAGGCAAAGAACCTGAAAAATACCACTAATACAAGGATAATAATGATGGATCTCATTTTTTCTACAGCTTGGGGGTCCTTCATACATTTCCAGAAACCTTTCTTTATGTCTTAGCTCACTCTCTCTTCTATTATATTCTTTTCCTCTTATCTAGATCCATCCCATAAATATACAAGCATGCAATAATCTTTGTCATTTTAAAAAATGTTTCTGGAATGACACATCTATTTCTAGTTATCCCACTTCAGTAGCCAAATGTCTTGAAAACATCTCTTTTCTCAAATCTCAGTTTTCTAGCTCATATTTTGTACTCAACTGAAACCTTACCTTTGATTCGACTATTATGCAGAAACGCATCTCCATAGCTATTAATGACCTTTATGATACTAATCTAGTGGTGGAAGCACTTCATCTCTTTCTATGCTACCTATGTTACCTTTCTGAATGTATACTTTCTTAGGTTTCTTTTTTGGATTATTCTCTTCTACTTCACTATTAAGTTTTAGGGTTCATTCAGCCTTAATCTTGAGCAATTTTTTAAATCTTTAAGTAAATACAATTATATAACTCAATTATCAAGCATACACAAGTAATATACATATTTATATCTTCATCTCAGACTTCTTTCTGCTCTTGCATATCACACTAACATTTCCACTTTTAATCTTAAAAGAAACTAACACATAACCTGTATGAAAGAAAATACACATTTTCTGCTCCTACCTCTTTCTATGTAAATGATTCAAGCCAATCTCATTCCAGAGTGTAATTTTGGATGCCCTAATTCCTGGAGTCATTCCTGGTATGTTTCCCCATAGCCAAATTATTGGCATGTCCCACCATCTTAATCTCTCAAAGCTGCTCAAGTCTCTGCACCGGACTGCCATCACTAAAATGCCTGTAACAGCCAACTATCTCTTCTCACAGACTGTTCTCTATACGAGAGTCCATGTGATCTTTTCAAAATTTAGGTATGATGCCACATTTTACTGTTTCAATGCATTTCATTATACTTACAGTGAATTAAAATCCTCACTTTGGTCTACCAGGTCCCGCAGATAAATCTTCCTCCTGTTTATCTCACCTCCATCACCGTCTCACTTTCTGCCCATCATTCTTACTGCATTTATTTCACTTCTTCTCTCTTTTTTCTTTCTTTCCTCCCCTCCTCTCCACCGCCCTCCCCTCCTGTCCTCTCTGCTCTTTTCTTTTTTGGTATTGGGAATCAAACTCAGGACTTTGACTTGCAGGCAGGCGCCTGTGCCAGTGGCTATACTCCCAGTCCTTATTTTGCTTCTTGTAGCCAATCATGTCCCACATTCTCTTTCACTATGGTCTTACAAACATGGTTTCTCTGCCTGGAAAGTTCTTCTACCCCTTTTCTATAATCATTCTCCAGTTGTGGCTACCTAGTTCCTACTCATTGTTTGGATCACAGCTTAAGTATCATTTCCCTGGGAACTGTTCTTTACATTAATGCTAAACTTTGTTATTATTTTGTGATTTGAGTGATGTCAAACATTAGTCATGCTACTACATGGATAGTCTGAGAACTGAAAGTACTACTGAGAGCAGATGACAATGATTCAGAAAATGGTTATAATGCAGAAGCTAAGAAAGAAATAAATTTTCACAGACAAAAAAGCCAACAAAAAAACCAAAAGCAAATCAAAATCAAGGAGGACAATTACTGGCAACAGGCCCCTAGGTTTACAATAAAGGGGATTATAAACGTCCACAAGGAGAGGCACTTTCATGAAGTCATGAGGAAAAAAAGCCTAGCTGCTCTAAATTAAGATATGTATGTGAACAGCAAATAAAAAGAGAGCAATTATTCTTTAAAGATGGCTTTCCAAAAGGTTTTCCACAGAAGCATTTACCTTTTAATATCTCTATGAATATGATGGTTTTCATGTAAAAAACTGATGCCATTAGCTGCACCCTGAGCAATCTTGCATCTCATGTGCCAAGAAAGTGGGGGAGTATCATCCTTATGAAGAAACAAACCAATTTAGAAAAAGAGGATAAAAAAGATCTGTAGAAAAATATATAAGAGTATTTTTCTAGGCAACAACTGAAAACAATATTGTCACTAAGAATTTAGGATTGCAATTTTTTTTAACTTGATAAAAATAATTTCTAAATGAGACCAAACAGGAGTTAACATTCATAATTTGAAGGCTAAAGTATAAATAAGCACCTTCAAAATCTAGGCTGGAATGGTAGTTTTGTGTTTTAAATTTTTACCTAAGAGACTGGCAATCCCAGAGGTTTACATAAACATGGTCAATGTTCACAAAACAGGAAACATACTAAGTTTAATGTGGCTTACATGACCCTGCCGCAAAGTAACTTTTACTATATCAACATAGAAACAGAAAGCTAAACAATCTTATGAATAAAATATCTTACCAAGCAAGACAGCCTGTCTAGCAAGGAACCATTGGGCATGTAAACGTACACCAAGCAGAGATCATCACCATCACTTGAAAAACCAAGGAGTTCTACTAGGTTTTCATGCTGACACCTGTGACAGATCATTTAACATGCATAATTATCGTCATGAATATGTATTCACTGGTAGGTTAAAAGTTATTCAGTTGAGAGGAGAAAAAAGAAAAGGAATATTATAGATCATTGATGATGTGGTACATGTTTCTGCCTACATGCTTACTGTACTTGTTCATCATTTTCTGTGAACAGTCCTTTTTTCAGTAATACTGGTCAACCTTAGAAGCAAAATCTCTATTTTATAGCCAACACTCAATGATTCAAATCTTGAAACCTGTAACAGTCTGCTTAAGAATTAGCCTAAAGCTTATATCTCTACTCACTACAAATTTTAATGGTTATACAAAGATGATTCCAGAAAGTCTCCTGAAACTTTTATAATACTTTCAAGAATTCTGCAACATGTTAGAATACTCTAACATGTTCAAAATATCTTTAGTCATATCAAGTTCACCCATCTCTGATCTTTAGTCATATCTAATTATCTACAACTTAAGTTTTTTAATACATTCAAGAGTACTAAAACTAAAGAGAGATGCAGTATAACAGAACTGCAGGCACCTGTGGGATACCAGGGCTCAGTATTTACATTCCCTAAAGTCAAACTCCATCTCTGTTACTTCTTGGATATATGACCTCCGTCCAGGTAACAACCCTACTGAGCTCTGCTCCTGTATCCCCCCAGTACAGAAAAATATTACCTATTATATCACATGGATGCTACAAGAATTAAATGAATAAGTTTTTGTGAGCCTAGAAACATACCTGGTGCATGACAAATGATCCACCCAGTACTTACTTGTTGTGTTAACTCAAAAATGACCTAATTCTGGCAATACTTTTTGCCAAATTGCACTCCCTCTATCCACACACATATTTTGAGAAATATAAACTGAAGCAGTAAGTGCTCCATTTACCACCAAGTTGTCATATTTTAAAGATGAGTCATTAATATTTTCTGAATTTGTATTATCTATGAGGTACTTTGATAATTTACCTGCTTTGCTTTATTTCATCTTCACAACAGGGTACAATTAATATCCCATTTTACAGATGAAAAAACTAATGGACAGAGCATTAAGGAATTTGCTCAAGGTTATTTTGCATGTCCAGAGATTGGCACTCATTAAAAAATGGTAAAACTTGTATTCGGTGGTGATAAGATAGTAGTGAAGCTTGAAACTGTAATACATTACTGAAAAGAATATAAATTAGCATGGTTTGGCCCTCAGGCAGCAGTTCGGAGGTACAGCATATTCTTAGCAAGTGCATGGTGCTGACATTAGTCATAGCAGTAAATTAATATCTATGAAGCAATTTGAACATATATTTGAAAAGTCTTTGAAAGTTCATGCATTCTGACCTAATAACCTTTGCCTAGGACTTCAACTTGATGAAACAAGCAGAAGTGTATTTAATGTTTTAAATCTTTAAGGGACTTTAATTTGCAATACTGAAAGTTAGAAAATATAGTAAGGTTAGTAAAATATGATCTTCATCTACATTAGAATGTTGCAAATAATTTAAAATGTTTTCAAACTTCAAACTACTTTTAATGACATGAGAAAATGCTATATAGATATCCTGAATCAAGCATATCAACCTAAGGTTATCTCTGAGTAGTGGATTCAAGAGATGGTTTTTATTATTTAAAAGGTGTTTTCCTGTTTTCCCAGATTACCTACCTTGAATAAGCTTTTAGAATTGGCAAATGTAAGGAACACAAATTCTGAAAAATGTTTTGATCTTACAGTGTACATTTACTTTTATGGAGGTAAAAAAATTCCAGTCTATTAATTATTTCTTGAGGTTACATAACTACAAGTAATGACTTACAGCAAAGGCCTCATGGATGTAATTTGATAAATCCTATTGGGATTTAGAACAAAAGCTCAAACTCTGATATCAGATCTGGATTTCAATCTCATCTCTAACACTACTGATATGTGACCTTAGGCAAGTTATATAGTATTTCTAAATCTCAGTTTAATAGAAGAGGTTATATAAGTTGTTGAGGCAATTAAATAAGTAAACACATAGGAAATACATAGCATAAGTCCGGCATGTTGTGTGTACTCAAATATAAATCACTGTCATTGCAAAAATAAACTTCCTGATTCAATTTTTCTACCCTTCTTGATGATGATTAACATCTCAATATTGTGGGTCACTGCCTTCTAAACATCTGTGCATATAATATTTCTCTAGTTACTTTACAAATGTTATCTAAGGACCTGTTATTCTATAGATTTTTCTTTTTTAGTATCCCTACAATTGATTTTTCATGAATTCTGGAAGCAAATCACACAATTGTTGATAACAGAAGTTCCATGTAACATTACTGTGATTTAAAATATTGACTGCTATTAACAGACATATGAGTATATATAGTCATAGAATTGAAGAGCCCAAGTCAGTAGTCTAAATACTTTCATTTAAGTTTTATATATCTGTATTTACAAATATCACTAGTTCATGATTCATTTTGTGTAGGAAACCAGGTTTCTACACTTTGTTTTATTCTTTTTCTTTATACCACAGTGCAAAATTAATACTTACTTTGCCATTACTTTTATTTCTTGATCAAACTGTTGTTTTAGTTCTTCAGTGCTAATATCAACCATCTGAAAAAAGCATCATGAAACATTATGCAACACAATAATCCCAAGATTCCTAAAACTGAAAGGGTACTTGCAAGAAAGAAAATTGAAATGCTTTATTCAAAATAGTAAGGTATTATATTCATCTAATAAGGATCTAGAATTATCAAGGATTCATTCAAGTTCCACAGTTTGTCAGTGACTGGAAAAAAATACAAAACTCACTGAATTGTTGTGGGAACAAAATAAAGTAACATAAGACTTCATTGTACAGAAATTTTTTTAGGAAGAAAAATCTATGTAGTAGAAGACAAGCAAATTTGAATACAAAAAGAAAATCAAAATCTGCAAAAGTATTTGCAACATCTATGAAAAAAAGTGGCTTACAGGTTTACAATATAATAACAGACTTGCAATATAACAATAGGCTTACAATATACAAATCATTAAGTATAAAGGAAAAGCTCCACAGAATGGGATAAAAGACAGACAAAATGTTTTGATCTCTTAATGTGTATTTTCCAAACTTCATTTCCAAATGAGAAAAGTAATGCAAATACTTACATAAACTTTTCTTAGTACTTCTATCATTTAATTTTGTTTGAACCAAGGCACTGTGTAGAGATCTTCTCAACTTTGTTATTGTAAATCTCTCAAAATTACATGATCCTATGTAAGTGTGCATAACTGCACTTTTCTAGGATGGAGTTCAGAGCACTCAACAGATTTTTAAATGTTAAGAACCACCAGCTTGGGGCTGGGGATTTAGCTCAGCGGCATAAGCGCCTGCCTTGCAAGCAGGCAGTTGTGAGTTCGATCACTGGTACGGATAAAAATGAAAAAGACAAAAAAAAAAAAAAAAGGACCACCAGCTTAGTATAGTGTTTAAAGAAAGTACATCCCAAAATACATCAGAGCTTACATTGCAAATTAGGAAACAACTCTTTTATTCCTGGAAACATAACTTACTGCTGCAAGCTTCTTTACAGCCACAGTAGTGTTGTTCACATAGCCTTTATACACAACTCCAAATCCTCCCTCTCCCATTTTACTGCCACCAAGAGAAATAGGTCGTTCGTCAAAGTTATTTGTGACACTCTTCAATTCATAAAATGAAAAACAATGAAAACCTATGTCAATAAAATAAGGAAAAAATTTTTAAATAAAAAAGAAATTGGTTATAATAATTCTGATACTTTCTCACTTTGAGGACTTCATACAAATGCATGTAACTATCTGCAAATATAACTTTGGATAAGGCAAAACAGAAGAGAGTAAAACCATCTTTAAAATACAGATTGTGACTTTGACATGAGAATTTCGTTTGGTCATATCATAAACCAAATTCTTATGGAATCACCCACCCAAAATGCTAATGAGACACTGGTGAATCTACTCCATTCATCCAAACTCTAGTCACATATTTTCTTTTTTAAAAAATGACCCTTGTAAGCTATAGAAACATTTACTTATTTTTTCTTAGTTTCTGGGTTGTCTGCATGCCCTATTGCTTCTAATTGCTGATGATTATAATGAAAATAGTACTTCATAAATTAAGAGGAAAAACTCCACAAGAGCCACTGCCAGTGTGTTCCTGATTGCTAAATGACTTAAAACCAACAAAAATTTACTTTATAACAGTGATTATATTAATGATAAACCTACTAGAAGAAAGCACTAAAAGTGGTACTTACATGTATCACTAACTTCTAAACTTCTATTTTCTGGACCTGAGGAACCAGGTGGGATACAGTTTTGGTCAAGAATCTGTACAGGTGTCACAGGTGTACTACTTTTTTCATAGACAGACAGGTGTTCCTGCTGAATTGTTACAGTTTCTTTAGATGGTAAAGTGTTAACAGGTTTGGGAACAGCATCTGCCAAATTGAATAAAATACTAAGTTGTCTTCACATAGGAAAAAGTGTCTGTGAAAAAGTTAAACCAAGAAATCTATCCATTTAACAACATTTCTATTTTCATAGGCTTGCCCTACAGTCTCACAACACAAACAGAAAACAGAAAAATCTGTCTAGTAAAAATGTATCCGTTGTGATGAAGATGGGTAGAGGATTAGGCAACATTCACAAAAAGTGGTTCATGAACTACCTGCGTAATAAGCAATGAAATATTTGTTTAAGAACATAGTGCTTGAACCTAATTCTGCAATCCTAGTTCAATAGTGTAGGAGGAAGCCTGGCAATCTACATGTTTAACAAGAACATTGAATGATTCTTATGTACAATACAGGCTGGGAATCACTGGTGTAAATGACATCAAGAGGAAAAAATTAAGGTTATGAAGAAGACAAATTAACTACATTAACTAGACTCTAACATACCAGAATGTAATATAAAGAAATCATGATCAGAGTCCTGTGAGTATGGAAGTTGAAGGTGGAAAAAAAGAGCTCAAAACAGTAACTTCTTTCTTCTAGTCTACACTACACATCTGAGGTTTATATCTATCTAAACTTCCTCCTGGGTCCAAGCCATCTGACATTAATGATGCATCAGATTCCATTATGAAGCTTCTACCACCTCAGCAGCAGAGTCCTTTTATCTTGGGTGCTGCTGAAAAGTTGGGAAGGGCTGAAAGAGTAAAGGGACTCAAGTATCACATTTGTCTACGGAAAAAAAAAAATAAAATAAAATAACAGTAAGAAGAAACTACTATTTCTCCCTTTTATCGTCCTACACTAAACATTTGAAATTTTTGAAGAATTGAACTCAGGACCTTGAACTTGCTGGGCAAGCACTTGTGCTGCTGAGCTATATCCCCAGCTCTACCCTAAATGGTGACACCCTGATCACACCCAGTTTACCTGGCAGCAAAAGGCTCGCAGGAGCAAAAAACTCATTTTGGATCAAAATATCCACAAGATCACCAACTGTGCAGTTTGTGGTACCCCAGTCAAACAGTAGTTCAGAAGTGGGACTTTTTCCAGTTTGAATTAAGGCTTCAAATCTCCTTAAAATCAAGTAACAGAGAAACGAAATTAATATAAAAATGAGTTCATACGAAAACAGAATGAATTCCTTCTGTCCCTGTGCTGTTCATAGTACTTTCTATAATATTAAAGCAAGGGACAGCAGAACTAGCAAGAGTCACAATGAGACAGAAACAACTGGTAAAAGGAAAAACAACACTCGAGATAATAACAAAAGTTAATCTTTGCTGGGCACTTCATCTTTATGCAGTGATCTGCAGGATGCACATATACAAAATCCTGTAAAAATACTTAGATTATCATACTAATTTACTAATGAGAGAGCCAAGCTTGGCAGGGCAGAGGGGCGGGCAGGTGCTGGTAGACACACATATCCAATAAGGCGATTCCAAGTAGAGATCCAAATTCAGATCTCTCTTGACATAAGAATGTGTTTTCAATTTATTTAGCTGTATTATTTTCTATTTGACTTATTAACTGTTAGCTACAACATCTTTAATAAATTAGCTGGCTTAACCAACATAAGTAAACTTAGGGAATTATTCCTTTGATCTTAACTATACTTAATTGAAGGAAAAACAGATTCTTTCATCCTTCTATTTTTCTTTTAAAAGTAACACTCAGGGACTTGACCAACATAGCTTGAACTGTTTTTCCTCCAAATTTTTTTAATTGATTTTTGTTTTTGGTATCAGGGATCGAAATCGAACTTGCAACCTTGCACTTGTCAGGAAGGCACTTATGCCACTGAGCTAAATCACCAACCCCCTAATTTTTTATTTGAAAAAATTTCAAATTTGCAGGAAAGTTGGAAGCATAATACAATAAAGTCATTTAACCTTCACCTATTTTCACCTTCTCTCCTTTTCTCTGTCCCTTCTTCCCCCTCTCCCTTCCTACTGTTGATATTTACCCAACTACTTTCTCATGATTAAATTCAGATTGAAATTTTTGTTAAGAATACTATACAGAAGACAATATCATCTTCCCACTGTATTATATACAGAGGCACAAACTAGCATTACATATTAGTGGTGACACTAAGTCTGATCATTTAGTTAAAGAGGTGGATCTCACATTTCTTCACTATAAAAGAAACTTCACATTTCATAACTCACAAGAATTGTGAATAATACTTAAAATCATTTGCATACCCTGTTCATCAGCAATATTTTAGGCCCACTGATAAGCTCTGTATGAACCAGTTATTCACTACTGATTGAAAATTGGCTACTTCCTCAATCTACCATTATTCTAATATTATCTGCTGGCATTATTTTACAAAGAAAAACTTTTTTTCCCTTCCTCACACTACTGCTGCAACTCCTGGCTTTCAAGTTTTAAATCTGAGGTTCTACCAAGTAATTTAAGATGTTTACCTTTCATATACAGTAACATTTTCTGGAAGGACTAATAAGAGAGCCAAAACTTTAGGTTCTTTATTAGGTTACAGCTGTAAAGAAGAAAAAACACTTTTTCTTTCTTCTCCTTATCAGACAAATTTTGATGTAAGTTTTAACTCCAATGATTGACAAAAATAAAATCTTTATGTTTTTCACTAAATCAAGCAGAGATGGTTGGTTAGAGAGAAAGAGTGAAAATTATCCAGACAGTGTTAAAAATTTCTGGCCAAGATCTAACAAGTCTGTTCGTAGACATGTATACTTACAAGCAATAATCATAAAACATCAATTTGAAGAACTTCCAAAGGATATTGTCAAATGTGCATTAGAGATTTACACTTAGAAATTTAGGCTCCAGAATTTCACTCGATTCTTGTAACACTGTCATGGTCCTTCAGTGTGGAAGTGCAAAGTCTAAAGCAGAACAAACTGCCTTTCGCTTGACAGAGAACAAGAACAATCATGCGAATCTGGACTCTAACTCGTAAACTTCACTGCAAAATCACAATATTAAACAAGCAAAGAGAAACAAATTAGACTGCTATCATTTCCACAGTAGAAAGGTTCACTTTCTAAACTTTAACATTAGACAGTACTCATACCTTCATCATTCTTGTGATATAAGAATTTAAAATGAAAAAACTCTTTATGTTACCTTATGTGAAACTGGTTGTATCTATCATCACCAGATGGTTTTTTAATAGCAACAGCCAGTTTCTTCCACCCTTCTTGAGGATCAATAAAATCTGACAGCTTCCTAATTAGGCCAACATTGAGGCAGCGCACATATGTTGATGGTGTTATAGGTTTGTTCATCTTCTAGTCCTGAAATATGAAAAATTTTCATTAAAAATTTACAGTAGCTTTTAAAGTGCTACATGTAAGCTTATATATAGCTTGGATACTGTATAAAATACTGGCAAATGACTATACGTGGGAACACTCCTAGTCATCTAGGTGATGTCCTAAGGAGAAACCCAAATTGAAATGAAGCCATCTAATTGTCCTCCGGGTTTCCTTTCTTTTTTCACCAATAAATATCGATAAACATTGAAGGACTTTGTTCTGACACTCATACTTTTCAAGTGACATTAATACAAAGAAGCAAAAAGTTTACTTTATCTGAAAATTCCTTTGACATGTTCAGGAATCAAATGTTTTTAAATTTAAAATATTTTTCTCAATAGGTACTTATTTAGTATTAAAAACGTATGCAGTATTGTTTGATAAAAATAAAATGAAAGTCATGAAATAGCTTACATAGCATTACAAGATTTATTCCACCACAGAATTGGTACGAAGCTCCTCTTCTGACTCTCCACACTTTCTGAGTCCATGAGATCTGCCTGACGGCAATTCACTTCCTTCTAACCTAAAACCTATGGTTCACCACTTCAGCTGCTCTGCAGAAAGAACCTTTATTTTCTTACTCATCTTTTCTTCTATTACTCTACCCTGGAGGGCTGCACGCAGAGATAAATCTCACAATCTGACTTGTAAAACAAAGCTGCTGAATACTGCTGTAGAGAAATAGAAATAGATAACTGAGAGCAGCATGAACACAATTTGTAATACCTTGTTCACTGGGCCCCAGCACTGCTGCTGTCCTTTTACTTGTCTCTTCTTCCTTAATGAATATTGCACACTTTTACCTCTCTGAGTGGCTTTTACTTGTACTCTCCATCCCTTATTCTCAGCAGGTAGTAACCTTTTCTTCTAATTAATTAAGACAAATGGACGCTGATATCCCTCCTTCAATTTCTGCTTCTCTATGTATTTTTATTTTTAAAATACAATATGATTAATTTTTGGAGTTATGATATAAAACAGTAAAAAGCAAGATCTCTGTACACTCCAGATTTCTATGTTGGTATTTGCTTCTTTTGGTCTTCCTTGACTACCACACCCCAGAAGATACGCATGTGCCCACCATCTAATTATCTTTCATAATTGCACGATGTATTTGAAATTATGTATTTAGTTGTTTATTTGCTGTCTGTCTCCTCCAGTGAATTTTTAAGCACCATAAGTTCAGAGGCCAAGCTCATTTTATTCATTATACTGATGTTAAGTATTTATTTTAGGAAGGAATAACTTATTGCCCAGTACCCTACGAAGCGATTTATATAATTTACTTAGTCCTATCAATGACTAAGACAATTTTGTCTTCTCTATTTTGCAAAGGTAGTAATTGAAAGATCTAGAACTCAAACTCACTTCTGACTCCAAAATTTATGCATGTGTCCCTGCTTCTATAACCTGGTGCACTGTCCATGGCACTCTTTTTTTTAGAAGAAACATTCGTTTTCTTTCAGTCATTTGTATATTCAGTGAACATATTTATCTGTGTTTTATACTCATCAATGGGAAAGCAGGAAAAATTTTTTGTTCTCAAGTTGCTCAATCTATCAGTGGAGACAATTAAAACGAGTGACAAACATCACAAGAGATACATTTAGGACATTAGGGGATGCAGAGAAGATGCACCAAGAAGAGTTCAGAATTAGGCACAGTATATCACGACAGATACAGTAGACTAAGAAGTTAAAAGAATGAGGGAAAGGGAATGACCAAAAACTCAAGTGGAAATTCCAGGCACAGCAAACAACATGGGAAAAGGTGGGAACAACGTGGGTGGGGCTCAGGCAAAGAGGCTATGACGGCTGCGGTGCTAGCCACAAGATTCCTGTGTGAACGGAGAAGAAATGAGACTGCAGCGGCCCCAAGGCTAACTAATGATGCACCTCATGTGTTAAGACAGAGTTTAATTTACATTGTACTAAAAACTACAGGGCAGCCATGTCAGACATTTTAAGGAAGTGTCACTTGATCTTATTTGATTTGCTGGATTCCTCTGGATAAAAAGTAGAAGAGCTGTATATCAAGGCAAGACCAGTTTGGAAACTTTTGCAGTTATCTAGATGAGCAGAAGTGAGAGTCAAAAAAAAAAAAAAAAAAAAAAAAAAAAAGTAGAGTTAGAGGACGGAGAAGAAAAGGGTTAGAAAGCTTAGGAGGCCATATCAAAACAATTTCATGGGATCAGAGTTAGAAGAGAGAGAGAGTGAGGGAAAAATAAAGATGATTACTGGGTTTGCAAAAGGCCTGATTCTGGCGCCACTCAGAGGACCTGGCACCAAGCGGATGTATACAAGGCCGGGCTTGGCACTAAGTTTTCAGCTTACTCTGCGTAAATCCTATATGGGAACTGAGAGCACATATGCACATAAAGTTGAGGCAGCAAGTGAAAGTGAAGATGCCTACTTGGAAAGTATAGAACGGGAAGGGATTAGGTAAAAAGAATTTAAAAAGCATTAACTCACAAAGGTAAGTAGCATATCAGAGATTTCTAGCTTAGGGGACAAGTTAGCAAAAAAGACTCCCAGAGGTCAAAGAAGTACTAATGGGTATTTTAAATGTGGGAAACAAAAAGTCCAGTGTTGATTTAAAAACGATTCTAGTGGAAAACCAGCAGCAGCTCCTGAGATCTGTGCCATGTTGGAACTTAGGACACTGGGAAGCCAAGCAAGCACCTCCCCTCCCTGGTAAGCGGTGATGCTCTGGCAGACTGGGGGGGGGGGGGAACCACCAGCAGCTCCTGAGATCCACGGCCATGTTGGAACTTAGGACGCTGTGAAACCAACAAGCAAGCCTGCCTCCCTGCTAAGTAGGAGTGAACCTACTAATGCACGGACTAGAGTCAAACATCCCACTTCCCCTAACCTCCTTTTCTGTGTCTCCCCCGCCCCGTTAGAAATCTGAGTGTCTCCTGGGAGGTTGACAATAGCAAATAAGGGGGACTTCCTTCTACCATCTCTTTGAAGGCAAATATTTTTATTACTGTTTTGCTCTATTCTGATTAATGGTACTGTCTATTCAATACTCTGTTTTGATAAGTTCTATAATGTTCTGTATTTCATCTTATTTTGATATACATGATTGAAAGAACAACTATTATAAAGATAACAAAATATACTGTGATACGTATTACTATTATCCCGGTAACCTGCTGTGAAGTTCTGTACCAATTTCACTATACGATCTTACTTGGCTTTATTCTGTCTTGTTCTGTTGTATTTTACCACTTACAAAATAAAATAAAAACAATTCTAGTGAGGATAGGGCCTGGTGGCACACATCTGTAATACTGGCGTTAGGAAGGCTGAGGGCAAGAGGATTATCATGAGTTCAGGGCTCTCAGTAAGATCCTGTCTCAAAAAACCAAAACCAAATACAAACAAACAAAAAGTTGTAGTTTAACAGTAAGAAAAAAACAGATTTTACAAAATGGCTCTGGAGAGATGGTAACAAAAGGAGAGAGAGAGAGGTAAGGAGATGAGGCACAGAAAGAGGGAAGATAGTAACTCTCATATTTTATCTGAAGACCCTTTACACTCTTAAAAATTACTATGGACACTATAGGGCTTTTGTTTATTTCAGCAATATTTACCAATGGTCATTATAATAGAAACTAAGAAAAAAACTAAGAAATTTAAAGATTACTTAATTCATTTAAAACTAACAATAAATATGCATGTTGGCATATATATTTTAGTAAAGATAGTTTTGTATTCCAAAGAAATAGAAAAGTGTCATTATTTTACAGTTTCACAGATCTCTTTAGTGCTTAATGGAAGATGGTTGCATTCTCACATCGGATCTGTATTCAATCCACTGCAACATGTTATCTTACTTGATGCATCTGAATAAAGTACAGCTTCACACAGATACATGGTTGGAAAACGGAGTTTTTAAAGAGTTTTTTCACGAAGTAGTTGTTATGTTTCTCTGATACTATAAGTTGATAAGGAATAATTTCCTTTTTTGTTCAAATCCATTTTGTTCATGGATAAAATGAAAAGAAGAAGAAGAAGAAGAGAAGCAGCAGCAGAAGAAGCAGCTATAACAAAATTTCAAAGCATGTCAACCAGACAGCAACAATAGTATACACACTGCACATTGTCCTCCCCAAATCATTCACCCAGAGCACAGTACATCTATATTCAATTGTCTGAACAATACCAGCACAAAACTTTCTCTTCAGCAAACTCAGAGAACTCAGCAGTATAATTATCTTAACTATTTTTATATACATATACATACATGTTTTTTTTCTTTCAGCTTGTCACACTAGTGAAACAATACAATATTTACACATGTATGTATGTCTTATTAATTTCACTAATGAGTGTGTTCTCAAGGTACATCCATTTTCCCATAAGTGTTCAATTAAAGAACAATTTTCTAACAGGTAAGCTGAAGTTACCTGTTAGGATCTAAAGTTGTTATCAATGAATATAGCACATTAAAATCTGCTGTACTCAATGAATCTTCTACTCATATGGAAATTCATTTTATGACTCCCCTGAAAGAGTCCCAGCCACCCTAGACATACTTGTAGAACTATAGGGGTAAGAATTGAAGGCTTAAGCTAGTTGATGATACAGATGAGACAGTGAATAGAGTACAGGTGAAAGGATCACTCTCAAACAGGAGAACCCTTCTGAATCCAGAGAAGCAACAAGGTCTCAGTACAGATATATTTGAAGGAAATGGAGAGTTCTCAATCAGGGTTATTTTCTCTATGAAAGAGAATATGAAGTCATCTAGGGTAAAGTAAAACAACTGCCCCAAGCATCTCATGGCTCAGCTATTAAATGCCTTTTACCCTTCCAAGGCCAACTCAAAAAGCACTATTGGCTTCCTGACCTTCTTTTATAACAATTAATATATTTTACTGTTTATGGGTTTGCCTTCTCTGCCAGACAGTGTGCTCTCCTGGACAGGTCTCACGTCAGAGACCACACAAAAAATATGTGTTGAATGAAAGTCTGATCGTTTTTAAAGAGAAATCCTATCTACTTAGATTTTGCAGATGCTTTCTTCAAGTTATTTCTCCTTACTTATCCAGATTTTCTCTACTGTGACAGTACAGTGTGACTGACAAAGCTGTTAAAGGAAGAACTACTTATTAATCCTAAAAACCATGTTGAAATGTAGAGAACTGAGTGTTTGAAAAGGCTATGTTAGGGCCAGGGATAAAGTGTATAGCTCTTGGCACCCAGACTTCTAGAAGAGGTGATGGTGTAGGAATACCAGGAAAAGGAAAGGCTTTTGAAAACCGTTCCACATGGGGGCTGGGGATTTAGCTCAGCAGCATAAGCGCCTGCCTTGCAAGCAGGCAGTCGTGAGTTCGATTCCCGGTACTGATAAAAAGGAAAAAGACAAAAAAAAAAAAAAAAAAAAAGAATCATTTGAAAACTGTTCCACATATATGCTCAGAAGTTCCAAATTCCAGAATTTTTGTGTGTATGTGTGTGTGTTTGAGACAGGGTCTCACTATTCAGTTTAGGATGGCCTTGAGCTCACTTTGTAGCCCCAGTGTGCCTCAAACGCTCAATGATTCCCCTGCCTCTGCCTCTAGTGCTGGAATTACAGGTGTGTACCACCACACCAGGCCCAAATTTCAGAACTTAAAATTTAATCTTAAACATATTCATATACCATTCCCAACCATGTATTTGGAGGAACATAAACCACAATATTAACTGTGTGTGTGTGTGTGTGTGTGTAATGCTGAGGACTGAACCCTGGGCCTTCTACATGCTAGGCACTCTACCAGTGAGCTCCAGCTCCAGCAAGGGTAATCATCTTTTGAAGATGATCTTTTATCATGATTTTGTTTCACTCTGCTTTTCTTAATTTTCAGTAAAACAGACTATGTAGACTAACTAAAAAATGTCAGCTTTTTCAAAGTTTAAGATTTACTTTGATACATTTAAGATTAATAAAAATGGAACAGGGTATAGGTGATAAGTGAGTAAATAAGTATCTTCCATGATGTTTCTCTCATACCATTAATTTTTATGATGAATAAAAACCATATCTTCAAATAAGACAACTCAGAAAAGCATACAAGGTGAGGTGGCACTTGAAAATTATACTAAAATCAGTGTTTGCTTTCCAATCTCACTCAAATGTCCAGTGTCTTTCCACTCGTATGCCTGTTTTCAAACAGGCAAGCACTATGCCCACATAGGTGTTCAAAGCATTCTTGTCAAACGAATTAAGTTTTAAGATTGTGCTTTGTTAGCTCTCTGATCAAAGGAAGGAACTATACAAGGATAGAGAGAAGATGAATTTTGAGGCTGCATGGGCCTGGGTATTATAGCCAACTGTAACCAGGGATACTATCAATTTCTCTGGATCTTGGTTTATTTATCTGAAAAACAGAGATCCGAATTACTTTTTGAATAAAAATTAGCAAGTGTGAAAGGTCTAATCTTGTTACAATAATTCATACAAAAAAGGAACAATTATTTTATGGAATGTTATTACAATTATTTACTTTATTATTTTGGTTTTTTTGAGACAAGATTTCATTGTGTATTTAAGGTTGGCCTTGAACTCATCATGATCCTCTGGCCTCAACTACGGAGTACTGGAATTAGTGGTGTACATGGATGGGTCTGGGTGCATCATAGTCAACTGTGACCAGAGCCAGTAAATCAAGGGTAGAAATGAAGAGGAAAAAGCCAGTAAGACTGCAGAATAGACAGCAGCACAGACGAAAAGGGTCCCTGTCTCTCCATGTTGTACTGGGCATCAAACTGATAAACTCATGCTTGCCAGGCATGGGCTTGTACAACTGAGCTATATTCCTGGCTGTGAGACTCTGGAAGTTTTGAGAGGGGTGCAATCAGTCTTTTTTTCGTGTTTGAAAACTGCTGACACTAGAGGACGCTGGAGTAAGGCCAGAAAAGTTTGAAGAGAAGAGACCAATTAGGAGCGTATCAATAATCCAGATAGGAGGTGCTCGTGGCTTCGACCAGAGGGGTAGCATAGCAAAGGACCATAAATTCCAGGATGCTAGTTATTCTGAAACAGAGTCAACAGCATCCTGTTGCTGATTAACAGAGGAAGAAAACAGTACTGAGGCTGTTGACTTGAAGTTTCCTGGCATGTAATGAGTGAAAACTGGAAAGCAAAGTTAGGCCTGGAGGATCAAGAGTGTAGTTTGAATAGGTAGAAACCAAACTGTCCATGAATTGGAGCATGAAAACAGGTGAATAAAAGAAATCTGAACTTTCCAACACTCTTTTTCAAGAATTATTTCCAGGAAGGGAAGTCAGATTTTAATATCCCTTTCTTTTAAAATTCCTTGGGCAGACACAGTTTTGAAGCATTATCTAATAGTTCTGATTCCAAAATGGCTAAAAGGGCATCCTTCGGGTTTGTTCTTTGTCCTTTTGTTTCCTCTTTTGCTTCGCAACTTCTATCTGCTAAAGCACTCACCTGACCCTACAACAGGCTTCCCCACTTTCTAATTCCCTGAAGGCTGGAGGCCAGAGAGAAAAGTTACTTCAAACTCCGACGGCTTTCCAGGTAACAAACATATATGCTGCGCTCCGGCCTCGCTTCCGGGTTCTCCGGAGTGGATCGCCCCTGCAGAATGAGGAACACACGCTGGAAGCCTACACCCTGAAAGAAGGTCCCTCTGAGCTACAGAACCGCTGGCAGACGCCCCTGCGGGCTTCAGATTCATCAGACCAAAACCAACTTTCTGGTTCCCAAGGACCCACCCAAGACTTTAACCTTAGAGAACTTAGGCAACTCACTTCTTTTCTGATGTTTCTCAACCTGATAGTAGGGCGATTTAGGTTCCGCAACGCCGGGAGACAACCCTGGAGCAGAAGCCGGAAGGCGCCGCGAACCTGGGAAAACTTTCGCTGCAGGAGGCACGGGTACCTCACCTGAGGCGACCCCGGCGCAAGGCGGGCGGGGCGCCGGCGGCAGGGCCAAGGTTTGGAGACCAGATCAACAGGAAGCACGCGAGTGGGGCGGGGCCACCGGGAGTGGGCGGGACTAACCTGAAAGGCCCCGCCCCCGACTCCCGGCGGCTGCTCCTAGTGGAAAGTCCATGCCTTGAGTTGGGCCCTTTAAATCGACCCCTGCCGGTGACTGACAAATTTTAGGGCTTCCGGGCATGCGCACTCGGCATAGCTGAGGACCGCCCCAACTGGACCGGAGGTAGAGCCCCGGAGTGGCCAGTTCTGTGTCGGGGTTGTACTGTGTGTGGATCCGTGGTGGGTCAGCGTTGAGCAGCTCCTCGCTTCCAGTTCCCGCCAGAGGACTGGGATGCGGGCTAGAACCCTGCCTTGGGATGGCGGGGGAGGGGTGGGGCTGAAGGCCGCGCTGCCCAGGCTCGTTCCGCCGAATGGGGCGTCGGCCGGGCGCGTTCCCCCGCTCCAGGGGGCCGGGGAAGAACTCGGAGGAGACGCGGCTGCCTCCTTTGGTTTCTCCCCGTTAGCAGGACCCTTGCCCAGCCCACAGATCCTTCACGAACGCCTCACTGCCCTCAGCAGGCGAAGCCCCGCGCTCACTCCATTTCCGGTCCACCCTTGCGGAGACCCTAGGCTGGCGTTCCGCTTCGGCACTGCGCTTCCTGAGTTCTACCTATTTCCCTAGCTTAGAAGGCCTTTAGTTTTTCTGGGGAAAGGTAAACTTTATTCTTCTTCCAGGGCCAACCCCTCTAGCGGTGGACGTGTTTTTCTGACTCCTCCAACTCTTGTTTCAGCAGATGCGTTCCATCAATCACGTTAGGAAAGTGTCCTTTGTGATTGTGTTACTGTTCACCCAGTGGCCATCCGTGGACCACGCAGTGGATTCTCAGTCATGGACAGGGCTGTCGGTGTGTGTACTCCATACCCCAGCATGACCTTCCCCCACTACACAGCCCTTTCCCCTGTCTAAGCTGCTTTTCTGTAACACGTTGCATTGTTGTGTATTTTGTTTCACATTACTTGTGATGTCTCCAGTTCCCTTTCGTTTCTCTCTTGATGTCTTTAAGGATTAAGAGAATGTCTTTTAGGCACTTTCTTCTTCACTGAGACAAAATATCCGACACCAGCAGTTTAAAGGAGGGAAGGTTTATTCTAGCTTACAGTTCATAGAGGTTTTAGTTTGTAGTAGGCTAGCTCCAAGGCAGGGCCGCATGGTAGAAAAGAGCTGCAGAGATCTTTTCAGGGGAGGGTGTCTAGGAAACAGAGCCAGAGGAGCAGGGAAGGGAGACGGGCCCCATCCCAGGGACTTACCTCGACCGACCAGACCCCACCTCTAATAGCAAGTGAGCTATAAACCTTTATCATCCAGCCACCCTCCAAGAGCCCCCAGCTGTGAGCATCACCTTGGGAAATTTATGGATGTAAATCATAACAGATGGCTACTCCTTGCCTTGCATTGCTCTTCTTGATTTTCATAGGCAAAAGTAATCCCTTCTCCTTTACTTATGTTTTCTAATAGTATTGTAATACCAGTATTGATTGCAGCCCTTCTATGATCTTAACACTTCTAAATGTGGGCTAATCATTGGTAAGGGAGATAATGTTACTGCTCATATGGAGTTGACCTTGGGTTGGGGCCAAATAGTAAATAATAAAAAAAGAGGGCCAGAGATTTTACTAAGTGGTGTAAGTGCCTGCTTGGCAAGTGCAAGGTCATGAGTTCAATCCTTGGTACCAAAATAATAATATACAGAAAAAACATTGGATAGAAATACTGTCCAAAAGATTAAGTAGGATTTTCTAAGAGAATGACTTGCAGGTTCCTATAGATTATTGGTCAGGGAAATTTCTAAGAACCTGAAAAGATGCAACTATATAATTGAAGAAGGAACAATTTAGCAGGAACAGTTATCATGAATCTAATAAAAAAGAGTAGTTAACAGAATAATGGGTCAAAAATACAAGAAGAGTTTGAAGAATGGACAAGGTCCAGAACCTTAGGTGTCTGGAACTCAATAGTTTGGACTTTACGATAAGTAATTATTGGGTTTTAAATGTACTGGCAATGAAATTTATCTTTTAAAGTAACATTCTGACTACTAAACAAAGAAAGGAGCATAGTGGCCAAGATGTAGAAGAAAGGATTAGAAACCTTCACAATGACTAGGGGGTTTAGTATAAGAAGTAATACTGTAGGACTGACCGAAGGAGGATGGGTTTGATTGGGGAGTCAGGTATTTAAAGTTTGATGGAGGGCTGGAATTTAGCTCAGTGGCTTACGCGCTTGCCTGGTAAGCATAAGGTCATGAGTTTGATCCTCCGTACCAATAAATAAATAAAAAGTTTGGTGGAATTTGGTGATCAGAAACTCAAAGAAGTTATAACCATAGGAACAGATGACCAAAATGAAGTGGAAATAGGAGGCCGAGGATGACAGTGAAGATCTGAGGAACCAGGATGCTCCATCCGGATGATCATATTTGTGCTAGATAAGAAAGTGCTACATAAGAAAGTGGTGAGCCAGAAGGCATCCATAGATAAAGAAAAGAGTCATCAGGGATCAGTGAGGATGACAGCAGATAGGAAAGCCTGATGGCATGATCTGCAAAGAAACTGGTTGTTTTGGAGACAGAAGAGGAAGAAATGGTTTGGAAACATCAATGGCAAACAAAACATAACCATTTGGTTCTAAAGGCTAATAAGTGTGAAAGAAAAAGTAGCCTTCAGCTGCAAAGACTACTTAAGAAGCAGGCTGTGGTAATAGCCACATTTTGATTAAAGTGAGAAATGGGACTATGCAGGCGATTATAGAAAATGAACACACCTTTCTTTAAATTTTGTTTTTCCTAGAAATTTAAGATGCAGAGAATTTGTTCTGATGTTTACATGACAAATGGAAAGAATCGGGAAAGGAAGTAGTTTGCTAAATTGGTCCAGGTTAGTAGACTACGTGGTGGCAGTGAAATGAAGGATCATATGATGATAAATATTCTGAGGCATGTGGCTACTACAGATAACTAAGTATTAAGACAATTTATTTTTCCCACAGCTCCATGTGGTATAGTCATGATAGGTTGTATGTCAACAACAGAAAGCTTTCTCAGAAAATATTCTCTTGTCTACTGCCCAAGAGAACCTTGTAAAAGTTTCTTCCCTCTGATGCTAATAATATGGCTTGAATTTTCCTCTGGGTTAATTTAAGAATTCTGTATTTGTGAGGACTTTAGAGAAGACTTAAGGTCCAGGGTTAACTTAATCCTGCTTCAAAATATAAACAGGTTGTAAGTTGATATTTACAACTTTACTTACCAGTTTAAACTTTTTCTGTCTTATTGTCCCTTCTCATGTTCTAATGTCTACTAAAAATCTGGCCATAAGTTTTCAGAAATTAGTGGACATGTCTATGGCCATACCAGCCTGAATGCACCCAATCTCGTCTGATCTTGGAAGCTAAGCAGGGTCGGGCCTGGTTAGTACTTGGATGGGAGACCGCCTGGAGAAGACGGGTGCTGTAGGCTTTAAAAAAAAAAAAAAGAAAAAAAAATTAGTGGACATTTTATGCTCCATAAACCAGACAAATCATTGTGAAATAGTCCTGTTTTTTGTCTGTTCTTGGTGGGCCTGTAGACACTGTTTTTAAGATAAACTTGAACTTAATCCATTTTAATCCTGAATATTATGTAGGAGCTTAGAATAAGTAAAAAATGAGGTTATAAATCACTAGTTATACTGAAAATAGTTTTCTTACTCAGTTTGGTACAGGTATGTCAAAGTACAGATGATATATGGCCATAAATTATTAGTGTCATTTATGAGAGTTCAGTATTAAAAGGGAGACAGAACTAAGCAATTCTTGCAAACCAATTTTTTTTGTTGTTGTTATTATTTGCACCTTTTCTTCCTGGTAACTGACTCTTTGTTTCTTTTGTAGGCATTACTCTTTAGAATGGAAGAGGATACAGATTATAAAGTCTGGTTTAGCTCTTTGTGTTTTATTAATGGGCATGTTGGATTTCATGGTACTATAAAAAGCTCACCAAGTGACTTTATTGTTGTTGAGATTAATGAACACGGACAATTAGTTAATAAAACAATTGATGAACCTGTTTTGGTTAGTAAAATGCTACCAGAGCTGAATAATTTTGCCAAAAAGCCAAAATTAAGTCTTCAGAATTTACCCCTTGATAACAAAGAAGAAAATACTTTGGCTGTTTGCTCCAATGGTGACCAAAATCATCAGTCGGAGTCAGAAAAAAAAGATACTGTTGATGGCAGGACTTGTAAACAGAAAGAAGAAAAAGCTGATGTGTTAAGCTCTTTTTTGGATGAAAAAACTAATGAATCACTGGATCAGTTTGCCTGTGATATAAAAGAGAAGTGGAATTCAGAAACTGAGTCAATTGAACAATTCCCTGAATTTTCATTAGGCAGAATCCTTGACAAAAACCAGAGGGCTAGTTTACATAGTGCTATTAGGCAGAAATTTCCTTTTTTAATAACTGTAGGAAAAAACAGTGAAATTGTTGTAAAACCAAACCTTGAGTTTAAAGAACTCTGTCGGTTGGTGTCTGAAGAAGAAGCATTGGATTTTTTTAAATATTTGGATGCTAAGAAAGAAAATTCCAAATTTACTTTTAAACCCGATATAAACAAAGCCCACAGAAAAGCTGTCCATCATTTTGTCAACAAGAAGTTTGGAAACCTTGTAGAAACAAAGTCTTTCCCTGAACAGAATAACAATGCTAGTAATCCAAATATAGTGATAACAGTAAGATTTCGGGAAAAAACACACAAGCATGGAAAACGGTCCGTTGTTGAATGCCAAGAAGGAAAAATTGTACATACAGGTAATTTAATAAAGTATCATTATTTTTTTAAATTTAAAATTGAGAGGAAAATGAATAAATAATTTGAACAGATGACCAGAGAGCCACTGGAAAGGGTATATGAGTCTGTTACTTAATGAAACAAAGTCTTCCAAGTTATACTGAGTGTAATAAATTAGCTTTATTGGTGGAAAGATGAGTAAAATAGACACATTTTGGGCTTAGTAGTATAGTTAATTTTGGTTTCCTGTTTTGAAAGTCATCTTAATTGAAACTAAGCATTTAAAGAAGTATATGTTTGCTGTGCTTCCTAAAGTAAAAAGAGTATTTGGAAAACAGATCTCCCTACTCACGGTATAGAATGTAGCTCTGTCAGTCTGCTCTAATATGTGCTGTAATTCCTCTGATGGATGGAACAGTTAGACTTTTTTTTTGGTACCAGGAATTGAACTCAGGATCTTGCGCTTGCCAGGCAGGTACTGTGCCACTGAGCTATATCCCTGTCTGAAACATGTTTACAGATTCATTTAGTAAATAAATTTAAACAAAAGTAGCAGCCCAAATTTGCACAGATTTGGATGTCATAGAAGCAAAATTATACTCTGTAGAACTCCAAGGTGTAAAGTGAAGAGTTGGGACCTTAAAATTGTGTGGGTTTGAATGTATGTTGTGATTTTAGTTTATAGAAGTTTATGAAATTTTCAGTATCTCTAAGATTTAATTTCCACAAATATAAAAACTAGAATGTGCAAGAATATAATTTATATATTGCAGCTGCTTTTTTTTTGTTTTTTTGTAATCTAGGATTATTTTTATTTCAGCTTTTACCCTGCGAAAAGAAAATCTGGAGATGTTTGAAGCAGTTGGTTTTTTAGCTATCAAACTTGGTGTGATTCCTTCTGATTTTAGTTATGCAGGCCTTAAAGACAAGAAAGCCATCACCTATCAGGCAATGGTTGTTAGAAAAGTGACTCCAGAGAGGTAATAAGGTATTGCTTTATAAAATAAAAGTTCCTTTTATATTGCATCAAATAAATAAATATAAGATTAAAAATTCAATATTAAAAGTATATTAACCTCAGTATCAATATTATTTGATTATAGGCCACCAGCACATTTTTACATTGTTATAGTTACCTTGTAAATAGAATTATATCTTCAACTTGTATTGAAAAATTCAGGAAGTTCTAGGATAGAAACTAAGAAGTAGGAGATTTTTAAATTGTCTAAATTTTTCTAAACATTCTGTACTATATTCAAATAAGCATTTATTCATGAAAATGTCTTACAAGTCACTTTTTCCTAATCACTGTAATACTTTCATAGTTCCTTGCATTTAAAATATATCCTTGTTAAATAGAATGTGGGGCTGGGGATTTAGGGGGCTGGGGATTTACGACCCCTGAGTTCGATCCCCAGTACTGATTAAAAAAAAAAAAAAAAAACATAGAATGCAAGGTACTCAAATTTTGTTTCCCTTCAGTTTAGTTTTTTAAAAATATATTTTGTAGTAAAAATGTTTTTGTAAAAAAATACATATTCAGTGTAGAAGATTTAGAAAGTAGAAACAAGTATAAAAAAGAAACAAAAGTCACTAATGATTCCACTCCTCAAAAAATAGCTGCAATAAAAATTTTGATTTATTTCAAAATATTTTTCATACACAGTACCACAGGCACATAATATATATGAAAATTATATTTCACATGCAGTTAATATTTTAAAAATAATATGTGAAAATTTATGTCATGAAATATTTCAAAATTATGTCCATAATATAGATTTATTTAATAGTTATCTATTCTTGGAAATAAGAATTCTTTTCCAATTTTCATGATAAATAATATTGTGATTCATATTCTTATAGTTAAATCTGCATCTTGTTTATATTTCCTTAATATAAACTTCAAAAAGTTGTATCATTGGATCAAAATTAAGTTAATGTTTTAATCCTTAGTCATAAATAGTTAAGTATCACTATTCATAAATAAATTTTTCCAAGGTTTCCTTAACTCTCATTTATGGGACAAAAACAACAAGTATGGGTGTGTTTTTGTGATCAAGAACGGCAGTATGGGAAAGAAAGAACTTTGAATTAGGTATTTAGGAAAACTATTTGGAAGGACAGTAAGCTAAGAATTCTACTTTTAAAAGGCTTTTTTTTTTTTTTTTTTTTTTTTTTTTTTTGGTGAGGACCCAGAAAATATGGATATAAAGGAAAAATTTATATGGGCTACTACAATACCTGGAAATTTATGCTAAGAAAATTGCAATTATTGCTTAGATGTTGAACAAAAATTGAAGGTTTGATTAAGAAAGTGTTAAAAACAGAATTTTTCTTGGTAATACTGGGAAAAGAGACTGAGAAGGGAAAGAGTCGAGTCAGGGGACAGGATGGCCCAACATTGGAGTATGGCATACCGCGACTTTAGGGTTCACTGGGAAAGTCAGGAGCATAGTTGGGAGGTTCTGTCACTTGAGCTAAGAAGTCAGAAACCTACACAGGTAAAGTGATAGCATTGGTAACTTATATTCAAGTTCCTAAAGGAACTGTGCGTGTACTCCTGTAATAGTGAGTATATATTTGTTGAAATAACATTAGAGTATTCTAAAATTAATATTGCATTAATACCTATATTTTGATTTGAGGAATTATCCATAAATGATCATTTTAAATCTTAAATTGAAGAATTTTTTAAATAGATTTAAGTCTATGATTTATCACTTTCAGGTTGAAAAATATTGAAAAAGAAATTGCAAAGAAAAGAATGAATGTGTTTAACATTCGATCCGTAAGTGATTCCCTTAGGCTTGGTCAGCTCAAAGGAAATCATTTTGATATTATCATCAGAAATTTAAAAAATAAAGTAAATGATTCTGCAAACCTGAGAGAGAGAATTCAGGAAGCAATAGAAAATGTTAAGGTAAGAAAACTCATTTTTAAAATAGAGTGTTACAAGAAAATCATCATAGGTCCTTTCTTTACAGTGAAGAAGGGCAACTTATTTTTCTTGTTTACATGTACGTAAAAATATTTTTTAAAGTGATAATTAGAACTATTTGGCTTTTTTCTTAGTACATTTTTATATTAAAACCAAACATAAGCATAATTTTAAAAGCATAGTACAAAGTATGGAGTTTCACAAAGAAGGAGGGACAGTCTTAGCATAAGAAGAATTTCTTTTATCTTTAAAATGTCTTCCTTGTGGAGTAGTATTTTAGTCAGAGAAATTTACTTTTTGGAAATTTTGTCTAGTAATTCTTTTCACAAATTTTTAGTAAATATATTCTAAGATTGTGCATAGTCTTTTTTCTTTTTAATCTAATTTTGAATTTTCTTATATATATACATATGATAAATTATATATAATTTATTATGTCTTATACTAAAACACTACTTAGGTTTTTAAATGACATGTGCTAGGTTTGTAAATACGCATTTGTGAACATAGCTTTTAGTCTCATCATCTTGACTAGGGGCTAGCAAATTTTTCTATAATGGATTGATAATATTTTTTGCTTTGTAGGCATATGGCATCCTTTTCTAATCAGTCAACTGCCATTGTGTGAAAGCAGCTATACAATGTATAACTGAATGAGCAGGCTATGCTTCCAAAAATGTGTTTATAAAAATGAGTACTGTATGGGCTTTTAATGCTGCAGTTAAAAAAAAAAGAGTACTGTATTGAGCCAAATTTGACCTCTGAGCTCTGGTAGTTTGCCAGTCCCTGATCTACATTAGTAATTCTTAACCTGAGGAGCTTTAAAAAAATACCAGCAGTTGGTTTCTACTTTCAAACCAATTAAATAAGATCATATGGGGGTGAGGCTTTGCCACTGGTATTTTAGAATAAGGTCCTACTTGATTCTATTCTACTGCCAATATTGAGAGACTCCGAGCCAAGTTTTCACCACGAAGACCTTTTTCACACAATTTTATAACTCTCTTAATAGGAAGACAAGCAAAGAATGCCTGGCTGCCTTACAGTCAGAAGATTACAGCTAAAGATTTTTGTCTTACAGTTTTTTAAATTAAATTTATTGGTAATATATATATCACATTCATCATAAGGAATTTATACTTGTACATGATGTATCTTGACTGTTCTTTTTTCCCATTCCCTACCCTCCCTTCAACCCCTCTTCTCCTTTGTTTCCACTTTATCCTTCTTTTTTTATTTTATTTTTAAAATTTTTTACCACTTTCACCTATGTGTAAGAGTTCCCTGGTTCCATGTTTACATCTTTTTCTCCCGATTGACGACTTCTTTCCCATGACTGAAAAGCTATTTCTAAAATGATACCTCTTAAAAAATGGAGGGGATGTCTGTGGACTCTGATAGCATTTATCGTCAGTCTTTCCTTAATATTTATGAAGGCACAATTGCCTGTTATAAAATTCCCATTAGAAATAATCTTAGGGTTAGCCAACTGTCTTTAATTCTCATGATGGAGTTGAATGACTCTAAAAATAAGGAATCTGTAAACTTTTCTTTAGAGAGTTATAGCCCTGATTGTTCTATATAATTAATTTGTAGGAGTAGTAGTTATTCTGGTCATTCTAAACTATTTCATTATATTTTATTCAAATTTAAAGTGATGAAACATTCAGCTATGAGATTTAATTCAAGAAGTGTCTACCTATCAGCAATTGTGTTTTGTACTTTATGTAAAGATGCTGTTCCTTTCATGTGGTGCTAATAACAAGCTAAACCTCTTTTATTCAGTAGTCTTTTGGGTTGTTGCTCAGTAACAATTATTGGCTGGAGAAACATACTCCCCTTGAGAAGGGAGTGTGGAAGAATCTTTTTGTCTCTCAAGAAGCCATCTGGGCTTTGTGTTTTTTTTTTTGTGAGAACACAACCACTGATGAATTTCTGTAAACTTTACAGTAATAAGTTATAATTTTCTATTTCTTCTGAGTAATGATGACTCACCTGCGTGTAAGGTAAAATTCTCTGCCTTTCCCCTGAAATCTAAGCATGGTGATTGCTTTACCAGTAGAACCCTGCCAAAGTGATACCATGGTACTTTTTAAATTGGGTAGGGGCATGCTTTAAGAAACTGAGATGAGCTAAATAATAAACAAATATGTAAAGGAGTCAATACTTGGACTTGAAAATGAATCTGTTTCTTCTCAAAATTGGACAGCAGAAGAGTCTTAGAATAAGTAAGAACTTCAGTGCAGACATCAGATCTAGTTATTGGCTAACCAGCTCAGCCTAGATTGCTCAGAAGATTCATTCCTTTAGCAATGACAGTCACATTTCCCCAGAAATCACTTAATAATGTGACTAGAAGGCTGACTTTCCCCACTGTTCTTATGTGCTGTATTTTTGTATTCATTTATTTTTTACATTTTATTTTTGTATTCATTTTTTTGCATTTTATTTTTAAAATTTTTATTAATACATTGGTAGTGATTTTTATTAATACATAATGATTTTATTTATCATAGAGTATTGATACACTTACATAACCCATTTAATTCTTTTTATGTCCCCTTCTCTTTATGCTTTCTCCCTTCTAGTCTTTAACTGTTATTTTTTCTACTGGTCCCTGTCTATTACTGATTATAATTTTTTGATTAAAATAATATGAAGAGAAATATTTCATTAATTTTTGATATAATAATTAAATTTAACATATAGGATAATATTTATATTCATAGACTAAAGGTTTTGTTAATTACTACGGACCACAGAGATTTGGGCAGGGAAGGAAAGTTCACACAGACCAAATTGGATTGGCATTGCTGAAGAGTGAAATGGTATGAAGTTTTAAAATTATTATCTACTTATTCATTTTTACATATTACACAAGGTAGGCTGTTGCTTTTTCTGACTTGTGTAACTTATGTATACACACATTTATACATATATGACATGTATTAGATCACTGAATATAAAGTAACTGCTAATATAGTATTATATTATAAAAAACAAAGTATATGTAATATCTCTTATGTGAGATTGGACAGAGAGTTGTCCAATAAGCTGTAAATTCTTATAGAGTATTCCTTATGAGGAAATATCTAGTTGTATAAATTAGGTGTTATACAATGTGGAAGTTCAGAGACTAAGAGAACAACAAATTTGAAAACAAGATATGACTAGTTTTAATGAAACTAAAAATATGTGTCATATGTATGCTTCATTGTCCAATTAAAATGTACAGGTGTGCTTTTAAGATGTATTCATATGTAGTCATGCATGTATATATTTTTACCCTGGAGTGGAGTACATATAATGAAGGAAAACTATAAAACTTTTGAACAAATGTAAGATTCATATGATAATATTTTACTCATATTTTCATTTGTAAGATGATATGTCACAGTTTAAATATTGTTCTTATTTCATTCTCCAAGAAAATGTCAACTCACATATCTTGTGGTCTTGTGTCATACTGGATGTCCCATCTTAAGTTTTATTAAATTTTATTATGGATGCTTATTTAATATTTTCTAATAGGAGTAAACTTTAATAGGACAAGCCTATGCCTCTTGCTCAACACTCTGTCCAGTGCCCTATACAGTATCTAGCATATCACAGGGGCTTAGTATTTGTTTACTTATATTAGCTTCTGATTGAATATTTGTTTGGATGATTGAATACTACATAACCCAGGCTGGCCTCAGACTCACAGCACTCGTCTTGCCTCAGTCTCCCAAGTGCTGGGATAACAAGCATGCACCACTGTGTCTGGCTTTTTGTTTTCTCTCTCTCTTTTAAAATAGGGTCTTCCTATGTGGTTTAGGCAGACTTAAACTCACTGTGTAGCCCAGGCTGGCCTCAATCTCATGGCAACCTACCTCAGTCTCCCGAGTGCTGGGATTATATGTGTGTACCACTACACCCAGCTCTAAGTGACCTATTTTAAGATCCTTTCCCACTGTCAGACACACACAGTATTTAGGCATAAATTCCAGTGCTGGAGACAGTAAGTAGTAAGATATAAACAGCATTTTCCAAAGAATTCAAGGAATTGAGACTTCAAATGATGTTAATGGCTCACCATTCTCCAGTGCTTGCTTCCTGTCTAATTTCTGTCACAAGTGTTGATCAAGTCTGAGTACTTTACACTTGTGTTCACACCTCAGTTGAAGAATGGTAAATGTGCACAAGTGAATGGGAGGGGAGCCCTTTCTCTATTCTGTAATATTTTAAACCTATGTAGAAAGTTAGGTTGTACAGAAGGTTTTCTATATGTAAAATTGTCTATTTAATTTTGGAAAGTCTAAAAAGAAATTTATAACACCAAAAATCATTTATCAAATGTGTATTCTTTAAGGTAGCCTAGAATTTGCATATTTTAAAAACAAATTTTGACATTTTTATTCAACCTGTGTTTTCTTGCTTGGTTTTTCAAGGTAAAGGCTGTAAAATTATTTCTTACACCAGAGGACTTGGAAGATCCTGTAAATAGAGCCAAGAAATTTTTTCTTCAAACTGGTATATAAGTTGGTTTATCCTGTATGTTCCTGTAGAGATATATAATATAAATGTTGTATCAGCAGGAGGACATTTATTACAATATACATAATAATGATAAGATAATTATGATAGATAAGAATGATAATAATGATAATAATAATGATAAGAAATAGATTGTAGTTTGAATCAGTTTATTGCCTGACTTAAGCACTTCATTTATTTTTTATTTTTTGGTACCAGGGATTGAACTCCCAACCTTGCGCTTGCCAGCCAGGCGCTTACAACTGCTGAACTACATCCCTGGCCCCAAGCACTTTATTTTTACCGGTTAAATATTCCTTGAAGGTAGGAGAGAAGCTAGAAATCGTTTCTTACTTTTCTCTGGCCAAGGTTTTCTGTGGGGAAAAAGAGTTCCAAATTCTAAACTGGTACTGATCGTAGTATAATTCATTACAACCACGGGAGACTCAAACATAAACTAAATGAAAGTTCTATATTTTATGTATTGCTTTTCTTTTGTCTTTTTTTTTTTTTTTTTTGGTCTTTTTCCTTTTTATTCGTACTGGGGATCGAACTCAGGACTGCCTGCTTGCAAGGCAGGCGCTTATGCCGCTGAGCTAAATCTCCAGCCCCTATGTATTGTTTTTGATCTTGGTGACATTTAGCCCAGAGTGTTGATTTTGAAAACTTTAAATTAATGTGATGGCTTTTATACAGAGAGCTTAATGGGATGCAGTAAAGAAAAGTGGCTCCAATTAAACTGCTGGGGCTTCTCTTTCTACATAAGGACTTTCCAAATGAGTGATCTTGTACAGATAATTTAACCCCATTGTTTTAGTTGCTTTGTCTCTAAATTGAAGCTAATAACAATACTTAAAAGACTGTTAAGAGATTTAAATAACACCCTTAAAACAGTGCCTGGCACATATTATTTGATGGATAATTATTAAATTAAATATTATTTATATTAAATAATAATGCCACGTCAGCCACCATACCACTTCAGGTTCATTCAAATGTCTGATCTACTTACATGAATATACTGAATTTCACTGAAATAAAGAAATAAAGAATATAGTTTTCAAATTATTTCTATTATTTTAAATTATATACATATTGCATAGAGATAATCATTCACAAGATGTAATATGTTTTTTCCAAATCATGATTTGTGAACAATGTATGCATTTATACATGTTAGGTGAAATCTAATTAATACTAAAGGAAATTCATTGTGACTTGCTTGTATATGTTGTAGAGTCTGGCAACATAATTTTTTCATGTTGGTGATTCTTAAACTAGTGTGCATAAGGAACACCTAGTGAAGTTACTGGAATGTCAGATATAAGGAACTACTTGATTAAACATATTTGCAGTGGAACCCATGAATCTACATTTTAAAAAACATTCTGTTAAAGATGCCTCGTAGTATACTTGGAGGATCTAGATCTCAATTCTTTCTTATTCTAAAAATTCTGTGTATATATCTATAAAACTTTAAAAATTTCTAGTCCAGAGTGTGTAGCTCAGTGATACAGAGCTTGCCTACCATGCTCAAAGTCTTGGGTTTAATTCTCAGTATTGAATACTACATCCATCCATCCATACACATATACACAGACACGTACATACATAAACCTTACCAACGTCGTGATTTGTTTAATCTCTGGGATTTTCTGTTTTTTCTTTCAACAGTCTTCTCAATAACTTCAAATTAGCTCCATTTCTAAGAAAGGAATTCTATAAATCATTTTTAATTTGGGACTTTTTTGTTTCAGCTAGGAGGATCAAATAATGAATGACTTTGCATTTCCAAAAATAGCTCTTTAAGCATAAGTAGGTATAAATGATAGTGTCAAATGTCATCTTCATATTTATGGAGATTGTCTCTCATTTAGATAGCATAAGGAAGGGCTTCATAAGTGACTTTTAAGTAAAAACAGGTGTCTATCTGATTTTCTGTTCATTTCAGAGGATGCTAAAGGTACACTTTCACTGATGCCTGAGTTCAAAGTTCGAGAGAGAGCATTGTTGGAAGCATTACATCGCTTTGGCATGACAGAGGAGGGATGCATACAGGCATGGTTCTCTTTTCCTCATTCTATGCGCATATTCTACATCCATGCATATAGTAGCAAAATTTGGAATGAGGCAGTGTCTTATAGACTTGCAACCTATGGATCAAAAGTGGTAGAAGGTGATTTGATCTGTTTGGATGAAGATATTGATGAATACTTCCCAAATAATAAAGTAAGTATTATTTCATCAGAGAGATGTAATTAGCATACCAGGAACATTAATTTTCAGAAGCCCTGATTGTGGAAACAATTTAAAACTAAATAGGCATTTTAAGTATGCATGTATATGGGTGTGTGTGTGTGTGTGTGTGTGTGTGTGTGTGTGTATGTATGTATTTTGTTTCCTAATTCCCTGATGCTACCTTGCTGTTAATTTAGGTGTTAGTAAATGGAAAAATAAAAAAACTTATGAGAATCATTTTTAATTCAAATTAAAGAACTGTAACTCAAAACTCACTTGAGGAATAACCAACAAAGATTTGTCAATTCTTACAACTAAAGACCTTTGGTTGATTCAGGCACAGTTACATCTTCTGGCCTGAAACCTAAAATAGTCCTTTTTTTTTTTTTTTTTTTTTTCCTGTGTTCTATTTTTTCTTTTCACTGTAGTAGATCCATTTCCAGTCTGAATTTTAAGATTCTTTTATGGTATTTTAGGAAAAATTGGAAAAATATAGATTGCACAATTTAAAACAGACGAATTCATGATTGAGGAACAGTTAAGTAGCAGAAGTATGTTTGTTAGTTAATTGTTTGATAGCAACCTGGAAGGATACTCTAAAAAACAAAGCATGGTATCCTGTACTTAACTGTGTGTTCAGTATTCACAAATTAATGTTTATAAATTATTTAAATCCCAGAGTGGTAGAGATGCCCATAAATCTGTGAAAGACAGAACATAGGAAGAGATGATAAGAGAGATAGTAGTCCCGTGTACTTTATCCTTTGTATTTTGATCAGCACACATCTGGGCATGTGGAGTTTTATATCCATTTCTGACTGCAGTGGTTAAAAGGGGATATTTACCCCTTGTAAACAGTTAAGCCCCAAATGAAAAACAAAAAGAGGAGGGACATCATGAATGAGTAGGGAGAACTGAAGGAAAAGCAAGCCAATTTAGAGGAGATTTAGCACTCCACTATGTGATGAATGTTTTAAAAATGTGACGTTGCTCTTACCCATGTGGAAAGATGATACCTGACTTTATACTTGAGATTTTCTATGGAGGAAAAATTAGAATTATTTATTCTGTAATTCTCTTTTTCCTTCTCTTTTCTTTCTTTTTTCTTTTTAATTTGTTTTTCTTTTTGTTTTTGAGACAGAATTTCACTATGTCCAGGCTGCCTGGCTTTGAATTCACTCTTATATCCCAGGATGGCCTCAAACTCATGGCCATCCTCCTGTCTCAGCCTCCTAAAATGCTGGGATTACTGGTTTGTGCCACATGCCTGGCTTTATTCTGTGATCTGTAGTAACATTTCTTAAATTTAATTCATCATATACCTTTTGTTTTTTCTCCTTTCTGTGATACCTACCACTGTTCTATGAAACCAAGGTTGACACATACTATGCCTGTGTAGAGTATTTTGATACCGTATTGTTTGAGGAAAGAGGTTGGTGAGGCCGGGGAATTAGTTGAACAGAAACAGATCATGGATTCAGCCTAGTAAAATAACAACTTTGTAATTTGGGAAAAGCATATTGGTGACTGAAGTGAATATATTGCCTTTGAGCAGCCCACCTTTCTCCTTTTATTACAGCATTAGTTCTCAACAGTTGAAGCTGGAAGAATTATTCTAATTTTCATGTAATCTTCTTTGGCACAAACACATTGTTATGAGAAGATCCTGTTTGAGTATCTTTATATTCATCATAGGAATCAAATTATACAAATAGAATTAGGAAAAATTGATGCAGTTTAAACATTTGGGGACCTCTCATTTTCATCATGTTTTTTAAAAATAGGTTCATCTAGTAACTGAAGAAGAAGCAGCAGCTAGTACATATGCAATACACCAGGTAAATTTACTTAAAATTTTTCTGTCATTTTAGACTTTAACGTAGCCATTGTCCCCCCACAAAAATGTTGGCAAGCTCCCTCTTTTTAGTAATTTAAGTTATCATTTATTCACTTACTTTATAGTTCTATAAACTTTCTTTTTTCTTTTTTTTTTTGGTTTTGTCTTTTTCCTTTTTATTGGTACCAGGGATCGAACTCACGACTGCCTGCTTGCAAGGCAGGCGCTTATGCTGCTGAGCTAAATCCTCAGTCCCATTTCTACAAATTTTCATAAACAGATACAGTCATATGACTACCTTGGAAATCAATTTAAAGAATAGTTTTATCTCTCCCTCAAATTTCGTCATGTACTTTTTTTTATACCAGAAATCGAATTCATGACTGTGCGCTTGCAAAGCAGGCAGTTATGCCACTGAGCTAAATCCCCAGCACCTCAACATGTCCTTTATAGTTAACCCCCACTCTTGTCCCCAGCCCTGGAAACCACTGGTTTATTTCCTATCACTATGGTTTTGCTTTTGAAAGAATGTCATATAAATGAAGTTGCACAATGTAACCTATGTGTGTGACTTCTTTAACTTGTGTAAGAACTTTGAAATTCATTCATGTTGTGGATATTTGAGGGTTTTCCTTTTTCTGACTATCTTTTGGTACTATTCAACCAAACTATCTAGAAGTCATCAGCAGGCTGGGAATATATAGCTTAGCAGCATAGTGCTTGCCTGGCAAACGTGAGATCATAAGTTCGATTCCCAGTACCAGTAAAAACAAAAGAAAAGAAGTCATCAGCAAAGGAAGAAACCTCCACAAAATGCAGTGTTTGCTTACAAGCAGCTCAGGAAATAAGCATTGTGTTTGTTGTGACTTGGTTACTTCATGGTTTTTAAATAAGAATTTAAAATTGTTACCTAAAATACTAGTTATGTGATGGAGCAGTAGAGGTCACTCTTTGTGTTACAGGATATACTTTTAGGATTGCATACTTTCACAGAGATTCAATCTTTCTTACCTAGTTAAATCTTGAATCATGGTTTCTCTAATGATACCTGCTTTGAGTTAGTTACCTTAGTTATTGAAAGTCCTTGATTTTCTTTACCTGGAAGCATTAAAAATATAGTGTAGTGTCCAAAGAATGTTTTAGGTGATTAAAATATTTATCTTGAAACTGTGTTTTAGAATGTCCTAGTCATAAAAGTAAAATGCGAATATATCTCTTTTAGAAGACTATTTCATGTGTTTTTTTTCTTCTTCTCATTCACAGGTAGTTCTTCCAGTACTTGGATACAATACTCAGTACCCAAAGAACAAAGTAGGACAGTGGTACAGGGAAATACTAAGCAGAGATGGACTACAGGCATGTAGGTTTAAAGTACCTGCACTGAAACTGAATGTACCAGGATGCTACAGGCACATACTAAAACATCCCCATAATCTCTCATATCAACTGATGGGAGATCTTGAGACCAATGTCAAGATGCAAGGTTTCCACATTGATGAAACAACTGTATCTCTTTTGATCTCTTTTGATCTTGATGCTTCCTGTTACGCTACAGTTTGTCTGAGGGAAATAATGAAGCATGACATTTGAAAGGGGTACCCTTGATATTAAAATCACTCTTGGAAGGAAATGGAGCTACAATTTCTTTCTTTCTTTTTCTTTTTCTTTTTTTTTTTTTTTTTTTAAATCTTTTTGAGACAGTTTCGCTGTAGAGTTCAGACTGACCTTGAACTCACTTTGTAGCTCAGGCTGGCCTCAAATTCACAGCGATCCTACTGCCTCTGCCTACCCAGTACTGGAATTACAAGTGTGTGCCACTGTGCCTCAGTTAGAGCTAAAGTTTTTGAGAATATTCCATGTGCTAGGAGCTTCACAATTGTTGCCTGTTAATTTTCACAGCTTCCCTGGAAGAAGTTCCATGAGCGTGTCAGAGTCAGTTTAAGATCTGTATAACCCCAGTGACTCTGTTCTTTCTATCATATCGTGCTTCAGTGACCTTTGTTCAGTGTCATAAGATTTTTTAAACTACCAAAAACATATGTTGTAACATTTAAGGAAAAAATATTGTAAAGTGATATTCAAATCTTCTAGCTCATTGGTGGTGAACCTGTGGCACATGTGCCGCAGTGGAGACGAAGAGCCTGGTCTGTCAGCATGTGAGCCAAACCACCCCACATCACCCCAGCAGCCAAGCTGGATTAATTGCAATGTTGGCATTTTGTGATAATAAGCAGGTTTTGGGTTGCATTTTTTACACCTTTATGAGATAAATAATCTTTGATGAATGATACATTGACTCCCTAATTTTTTTTCTGATATCTGAAACACAGGTTTTAGAATCAGACAGGTCTGAACTCTGGCTACACCTCTGACTTTGGCTGGTATCTTAATGTATGTTATTCTTTTTAAGAATGGAGGCAGCTGGATGTGGTGGCACACGCCTGTAATCTTAGCACTTAGGAGGCTAGGGTAGGATTGCTGTGATTTCAAGGCCAGCTTAAACTACATAGTGAGCTCAAGGCCAGTCTGAACTACACAGTGGGATCCTGTCTCAAAAAAAAAAAAAAAAAAAAAAAAGAAAGAAAGAAAAATACAGTATCAGCTTCATAAGTGGGAAATAAAAGAAATATGTGCGCATATTGTGTTGGTAGAAAAAGAAAACATTTTGCCCATTTGAAAATTTTAATGTCAGTTTAACTCATCCACATTCCTAAATTGTCTTTTAAGACAGGGTTTCACTATATAGTTCAGGCTGGCCTTGTGGTACTCACTGAATAGCCCAGGCTGGCCTTCTGCCTCAGCTTCTTAAGTGGATTACAGGTGTGCATCACTACAACTGGCTCTCATATTTTATTAACAACTTTTTTTCGAGTTCAATTTGTGGGGGGTGGGTGACTTATGTATTGAGAAGTTCTGAGCATCCTTTGAGTGCTGGTATGATTATCAAATTTAAAGAGCAGTATGGAAAATTATATATCAGTAACCAGGCACATTAATATACTGTAAGTTACTCTAACAACTTAGGGAGTATTAGCACAAGAGAATTAAGTTCAAGAGAAGAAAAAAAGTTGAGTGTACTGCAAAATTTCTTATTATATCTTTTATATATAATGAAAGGAGTTAGAAATTATTTGACAAACAAGCCTTAAATACCTAATGTAAGTAAAATGAAATATACTGAATTGATAGCAAGGATGTAGTTATTAAAAATAAAGGATTTAATAACACTAGAAAGTGTTACCCATCAAAGCAAAGCATGTGTATTACATGAATGCTGTAATATACTGAATCTACTTTTTAAAAATGAAAGGCATGTTGGCATAGTGATTAAAAAGATGCATATTAGATACTAATTCTCCCAGTTTGAACTTTAGAGATCTGCTTATATGTAGCACTGGGCAGATTATTTAAACTTGTATACTTCCGCTTTAACGTTTATCAATTAGATGTTAATGCAGGTATTGCTAACTTCACAAGATTATTGTGAGGCCTTCCTGAGTTGATTATGTAAAACAGCCATAAGGAGTACCTGGCACTTAATTATTGCTAAAAAAATGTCTGCAGGTACAAGTTTGAGAGAGAAAGGAGGAGTGAAAATGTACACTTAAGGTAATGGAGTGCTTAAATTACATTTTAGTCATTATCTATATTATCATTAAGTAAACACAAAAATTGAATATTATAGTCTTGAGGTTTCAAAATTACCTTCAATTTTAATGTTATTGAAGGTGAAATAATGCTGTTTTATAGAAAAATAATTTTAGAAAAAAGTTCTATTTCATAAGATAAATTATATGCTATAAATATTATCAGAAAATAAGATATCAACTATTAAACCCTAGTTTTCTTTCAAATGTCATTAGAAAATATAAAATCATAAAATGCTATCAATAGTATTTCTTCACCTGTAGGTGGCACTATAATTTTAAATATCTTATTTAGTATTTAGTACAGTAACTGCTGTAGTCATGTCTAAAGATCCCTAAGTTTTTTTGTCATTATAAAATATATTTTGCTATTATGTGAAAAATATCAGTAATATTTTCCAACATAATTTTTTTCAGGTTAGGAACTTTATTAATGTACTTAGCCTAAGTTTTCATGGGCATTTCAGATCTTCTTAAGTATGCCCTTTGGTTTAGTTATCAAGGTTACATCTGAAAATGAATGAATAATAGTGCCCAAGGATCAGTAAGTGAAATAATTTTTAGTTTTCTTAATCAAGATTTTTTGTTTGTTGTAATAAAAGTTTTGACCCAACTAACATTTATTTGGGTGTCTGTTGTGCTAGTATCTTTATTTTAATCCATATACCCCCCATGGGGAGGTAGTAGTCTAACTCCCTTTTTGCATATTGGAAATATATCTAGTTTATTGACAATTCAAGGTCAAACCAAATAGAAGGTGTTAAACTTGATTTTGGTGCTAAGATCAGTAGGGCTTTTATCTATGTAATATCTGCCTTTCAAAAACAAGTATTTGGGTAGTAACTTCCAATTCCACCAATTTGGATATTACCTTCCATTGACTAATAGGCATATCGAGGCATGTCTTGAAAGAAACAAAATTCCTTTTGAGATTCTGGACCAAAATAGAAGTAAAAGAGATCCTACAGGAAATTCCTAAATAATTTTTGGGGCTGTTCCACAGAATATTTGGGGCTTGCTTTACAGTGATATACAGAATCATCATAGGTCCAAGGCAGTTATTTGAGATTCTTCCTGGCACAACAATAAAAAGATCATTTAAAAAATACAAATATGATGAGGAAGTTCCTCAGTTCTCTTTATGTCTTCTCTTCAGTCATTCTGTGTAAGAAGAAAGCTGATCGATCCTAGTTCACGTACATCACTAATACTTGTTGATTTAGCTATTCAACAGAAATACAGACTTCATGCTCAGGAATATCAGAGAGAAACAATATTTAAGTAGAATTTAATAACATTGTTTTATGAAATTATCTCTACTAAGAATGTGTTTATGGCAACTTAGCTTTCTCATTTTTGTGATGTTTTCTTTAAAACTAAATTTAATTTTAGAAACAAATCATTTTAAATGTATTAAATAATAGTGTGGATGTAACAGTAATTGTGATAGCAATACATGAATGATTAAATTTTGAGAAATACTGGTGTAGTTGAGAATCCCTGAATTTAGATTCTACCAGTGCTGTGGTGTGTGACTTTACTGAATTTCTCTATTGTGGGTATTCTCAGATTTGAAATATTAGTCACAATTTTCCAATCCTGGATAGTTGTGTCAAACAAAATGATGAAAAATACACAAATTTGAGATATTAAGAATAGAGATACTAATGATCATTTATGCCATATCTTGAAGTTTAACTGATAGGGACTTCATTTTTGAAAATCTGCTCAAACAATGAGAACAATGTTTACCAAATTCTCTGTAAATTCCAGCTAGTGTTTCTATAGTTAAGACTACTTTACTGTGCTTTCATTAACAATTAGTTCTATGACTTTCTATTGAGGTCTGATTTAGCATCAAGAAATTATAATTCACTTGCAGAGTTTATTGTCTTTTATTTTTGGCAAGGTGAAGTAACTATTTCTGCATCTGAGAATTCAGCAGTTCAAGTTATATACTTTAAGAATTATCGGGGCTGGGGATTTAGCTCAGCGGCATAAGGACCTGCCTTGTGAGCAGGCAGTCGTGAGTTCAATCCCCGGTACCGATTAAAAAAAAAAAAAAGAATTATCTAGGTTAGTATTCTTCATCATTTTCCACTTGGAAACAATGAGTAGGAGGCCAAAAGTTAAATGAAACCCTGTATAACTAAATGTAAAGTATTCTTGTTAATGAAAGGGTAGGAAAAGAGGTTGGAAGAGGTAACAGAATAGAATTTTTTTCTCTACTTCTGAAATGCTAGTATTTTAAACAAGAATATATTTTTATATTCTGGATCAAAAACCTTGAAAACCTGAACCTTATGATTCAGAGAGGGGATGATATGGGAACTGATGACGTCTGATTGCGTTTGTTCAGTATGGTTTTGGTAACTCATGCTAAAATTGCAAGGCAGAGAAATTTATGCATTAAACATTTAATAACACCAGTAGCATTAAATGTAAATATTACAGTTTAAAGTTTACTGTGTGTTTTGGCTTTCACTTTCAGATTCCTGATAGGTTTTGTCTTAAAGATAGCTTGGTGTCTTTGTGTGTGTGTGTTTTTCTTTTTTATCGGTATCGGGGATTGAACTCATGACTGCCTGCTTGCAAGGCAGGCGCTTATGCCGCTGAGGTAAATCCCCAGCCCCAATAGCTTAGTATCTTATAGTAGTGTTTTAATTTGTTTTTGTTATTCACTTGTTTTTGGAGGTACAGGGAATCAAACCTAGAACCCTTACATTGAACTACATCCCCAGATCTTTTTATTTTTTTAAACTTTAGGACAGAGTCTTGTTAAGTGGTTAAGTTACCCAAATTGGGTCACATTTCTGATCCTCCTGCTGTGGTCATTATACAGTGCCACACATGTGGTACAGTTACAGTATACAGATTGTCTAAATACATAATACAGATATTTGAGTGATTCTCAATTAGAGGCATTCTGTACTTTTTAGTGAGAAGGCCTGAAACAAGATAAAATTCCACCCTTTAAGGAGTTAACATTGCACTCCCTTTAAGGACTTAACATCTTTTTTCTTTTGATTTGATATGCAAGAAGTACAAGACTAAATGATAAAAGTGAGAAATAAGCAGCATCTCTATATTAGTTTATGGCTCACTATGACCAGTAATGTTACTTGACCTTTCAGTGTCCCATTCTGAATCCTTAATTGATACTTACATTAGCATTTCCAAGCATTTTGGGATCTCTTAAAGTATGTTTTGAACTATTAAGTCTAAATGCTGTTTTCTAAAAATCTACTAGTTTAAATAATGGGGAATGGTGTTAACGGAGTTAATCTTGGGTAATTTCAGTGTAGGTTGTCAGGAATACTTCTTAAGGAAAATGACTAATCTTCTTAAGCAGTTCATTTTCTTTACAACTTTGAGGCAGGAGTTAATTTACTCTGCCTGTGTACATAAGCCCTCTTTTACTAAAGGAATATTTTACTTATGGGAAGGAGTTAGGATAGCTGTGAAATCATTTAGATTTACACATTGGAAAATATTAAAAGTAGAAGATATATTGTCTTTTTAATTATGTTTCCCTACCAGTGTAAAAATAAAATCTGCTGCAAGGAAAAATTTAGCCATGAAGTCAAAACAAGAGCTATTTGGTTGCTTTAAAAGTAAAGAGATCAAAGAGCTGGTCACTCCT